AATAAAAATAAAAAATCATAAAAAAATTAGAACTCCAATATAAAAAAACGATTATGAAAAAAATAAATTGTAATCTATTACATTCTAACATTCAACTTGATATATTTTTTTGAAAGAAATAGAAATTTTTATTTGGATTTGTTGCAAAAATAATAAATAATAAATAATAAAAGTGGTGATTTTGATTCCAAGTCTACTACTTGTGTAAGTAGTTTATTTTCTCTATGAGCAGTCAATTATTCTATCAACATCTTTCTGTTAGAACATGTTAAGTAAAAACTACCTTCGTTTTTAAAATTTTGTGTTTACTAGAAATAGCCAACATGGTTTTTTCAAATTGATCAAAATGGTTAGTTTTTACATTGCTCTGTGCATGCTGGACTCAAATTTATTGAAAGTCTACTGCACTATTGATTATTAGACTATAATCCATCTATCTTGGCTCATTGATCAAATCAACCTTAAAAGACTCTCATAGCAAGGCAACACTGCTATTGCTTGTCATTGAATGCAGCATTATCATCACTTCAACCATATACAATTAATATTGTTGAATGTAGGGTTTGTATATATATATATATATATGTATTTTTTTAATTAATTTTAAAAATTATGTTTTTTTTTTCATAGATTAGTAAGCTATCTTGATTGTATGAAAATTTAAGATATTTATTTTATATAATGTGATCTTTGATTCATATATTCTTTAAATAATTAAGATGAGTAGAAGAACAAGACTGAACATTTTTTGAAATTTAGTTTAAAACTTCAATTTTTTTATTTAATATTAAAAAAAAAAAAAAAAAAAAAACAACACCAACAACAACAACAACAACAACTTTTTAAGGATTAGATTAATTATAGAAGTTTATTTTTAAAATCCACAATTTTTAAAATAATTGGGGATTAGAAAGTTGCAAATAATTGTTAATTTTTCAAAAATTGAATGTGATCAAAGTCAATCTTGTTTAATAGAACAATATCTTCTTTTCCTTATTGCAAAATCTATTTATTTGGAGGTATCCAAACTTGCTGTAAGTTTGACAAATCAATATGTATAAATACTAGGAGTTAGAATACTGCACATAAATAATAAAAATATATTCCAAATTTAGAATAATAGAAGTCATATTGTATAAGCTTTTTGGATAGTTATCACCAATTAAAGTATCACCAATTGAGTATTAACCTTAAATGTCAATTTCTTGATTAATTTTAACTTTCTTTTTTGAAAAACTGAATAAAAATATCCACTGAATAAAAATAGCATTACATCATGGATATTTCCTTGAAATCTTCTACGAACACAAAATAACATTGGCAATTCAAATCCCAATCTCAAAATCTCAACTCCACCTGATCGGCCGTAATTTGGGCGGTGCTAACAAGTTGTTTGTTTAAAAACATATACATAAAAATAAATAATACCAGGGGCGTGTCAGGGGCGTATCTGGTGCATTTTGCCCAGAGATACAGGAGATGATGATGCGGTGCAGGTCAAAGAATCCAGCATATTCTAAGCAATCAGGATAACAGAAGATTGAGAAGACTGGACTCCAGCGTGCTTTTAGCCTCCTCATGCACGTTACGTTGATGGTTGTAACGGAGATGGAGACTGAAGATGTCTGCACAGGTATCATGCGTGGGGTACAACCCTGCCGCCTCTGTACCCGCACTTGTGGCCTCATTCCCGAGCACGCCTCTGCGTGAGTGAGTGCTGTAATCTTGACCAACTTTCATCACCGATCTCGCACTGCAGTTTCCATGGCTTCCTTCATCTGACAGCTACACGTGCGTAACCCCACGATGTAGTTACCAACCGACAACAATTCAGCAGTGAAGTGACCCATTCACGACAAACAAAGACGTCAGTTTTGTGAAACCAAACTCACTTGCCAACCGCGTGAACACATGGCTGGTAATGCAAACGGGAGTAAATATGATGGGTAATCCCCTAAAAGAATTGCATAGAATGTATAATCAAGAGCAAGCTGAACTTGCAGCACTAAGTGCAATGTGGATGTTGTTGGCTTTGTGCTCTCCCCGCCAACGAATGCCATTCAACGTGTAGCCCTCTTCCATCACACGACATGTGTTCATCCATAACTGGTGAAACCTTCTGTGTGTATACAAAGTATTGTTTCTCAGTGCACACTTCCTCTCAAATACAGAACTCTGTGACTGGATTCTTGTTGGCATGGTATCAGAGCGATATTGAGTATTGTAGCAGAGTCTTTGTTTAAGTCTAGTGAGCAATGTTCTTAGAATATTGGAATAGGTGATATTTTGTGTTGTATAGCACGTCAATTAACAAGTGAGCTTTGTTTTTGTCCTCTGGATTACAAGCAAGAGTGGAAATCATGGCTAAAAGTTCAGGAAAGCATGTTAGTAGAAGAATCCAACAAACTAGTTGGCATCAGCAACTAATACAACTGGCAGTTAAAAATGAAAACAAAACTGAGAAGAGAGAATATTTGGGATTTTATAGAGTATCACATACAACCTAGTAACTACAACTTGCTAACAGTAGTTGTGTTAGGAACTCATTACACCAAATAAGTGATGAGAAAAGCAAAGAACCTAGTACAAGCAGGAATACAATTATCAATAGCTAATAATTTAGTAGGTTTTGTAACAAACTTCGTAGATCTTGGACTTACTTCGAATGGTGTGCATCAAAAGTTTGCATTCAACAACTAGTCTCAACTACTAATGCTAAATAATTAGCTTCATACAATCAAGATACTAAAAAGAGGATTAATGGAGGAGTACATTACCAAGGTATTAAAGTGAAAAATCAATTGATATCTATAGTAGAACCAATTCACAACAAAAGCATTTGTCAGATTGTACACTATGGCTAACCAAAACATTTTAGAAGAATTGTTTAAACTTTAATCAACTTAGATACAATCTTCACCTTTGATTAACTAATATCTAAACTATTTAGTAAAGCAGCATGGTAAAAATGAAGAACAATTCAACTTAGGAACAAAGAGGCATTAGCAATATATTTCAACCACACAATTCAACTACCCACACAATTTTTAGTACGTAATAGAATACAACCTTTAAAAACATGTCTTCTAAATCAAAGATACAAAGAACAAGGATACTATCAAGGAAGAAACCTACAATATATAAAAAAATCAAGGTATATGCTAGAAAGAAGACTTTAGCAAAGTTGAATCAACTACTATAATTAAGAAAAGCCATGATATATTGCACCAAAAAAAATTGTTTCACAAGACCAACTAGCACAAACTAACTTAAACCAAGGTCAATTCAATTTTTTAACAATTGTCAATGCAATAAAGAATTTTGGCATAGCCTTATTACAAATTTTTGGTCTTATAAATTCTCCTCAACATTTGTACATAGACAATGATGTGACTACACATGCTACTGGTAAAAGAGACAATATTAACCAACTTGCAAGAATTGGCACAAGTAAAAAATATCAAAACTACAATGAGAGAAAATCATAATATTGAAGGTGTTGGCATTTCTACTATAAGAATTAATTTTGGTAAAATAAACATGGTAAATATTTTGAATATATCAATTCTTACAAAAATATATATATATATATATATATATATATATATATATATTAGTTAGGATTATAGTAGATATAAGCTACATATAAATAAAATAAATTAAAAATAAATTTAGCTCTTATTTTTGGATTTTTAGATAAAATAAGATTTATAAAATATATAATCTTATTTATAGAAAAAATATCCTTAAAAGTTTTATTACCTGATATAAATAAAAGTAGATTACCACCATCTAATTTTTTTAGCTCCTACAAACAAAGACCTTTTCTAGAATTTCTTATAAAAATTAAAAAAAATTTAGATCCAAAATTATTACTTGCAATTTAAGAAAATTAGTCTCAAATGGAAAAATTTGATAAAATATTAGAATATTTAGAATCTCATTCACAATCACAAATCCCTAAAATAGTCAATCTCAATAATTACATATTATCAAAAAGTTAAGAAATTTGGAACAACCATAAACAACTAATTTTAGCAATTGAAGAAGTATGCTTATTTGGAAGACAATATCCAATAAGAATTAGAACATATTTTCAAAAACCAAAAGTCTATTATTGGATATTATCTATAAAAATAAAAAAACCAAATATCTATTTTAAGACAATAATATATTAAAGATGGGATATTATCTACAAAAATTATATCTAAAATATAGTCAAAAGATCAACTAATAAAGTCTTTATTACATGAAAATGGATGTATAAAATCAAAAAGGGTCCACATGGAGAAGTACAAAAATATAAAGCTAGAATTATAGCAATAAGATTTTAACAAATTACCCAAGTAGATTATTTTGAGACCTTTGCTCCAATTGTCAAGTAGTCCATAACAAGATCTGTCTTGATTATAGCTACAAAAAGAAAATGAAGTGTGAGACAAGTAGATGTTGAGACAACATTTTTAAATGGAATATTGAAAGAAAAAGTTTATATGGAAATACTTGATGGGTAAGTGATCTCACTAATGTTTGCAAATTAAAACATGTATTGTACGGACTAATACAAGGACCAAAGACCTAATACTCAAAAATAGATACTTGACCCTTACATGTATTACAAAAAAATAAAATAATAATAATAATAATAATAATAATAAAATGATAAAAACAAAAAAGAAATTATTGTTTTAGTCAAAAGAGAATGACTTTGAGAGCAAGAAGGCTTTGTGCCCTTCCATTCAACGAATGCCATTCATCGTGTAGCCCACTTCTATCATGTTGATGTTGTGTAGTTAAGAATGTAAGAATGTTTTTAACCTGGAAGAAATGGAATGAAATGGTACTGTCGGCATTTTGCACGAATCATGTGAGAGTGGCTCCCATGAACAAGTATTCCACACGCGTAGGCGTGTTTATCTGGCCGGCAACGCACCTTCGTGGCGAACATCCTCGAGGATCATACCACTTCTCATAGTGAGGTTCAATCTGGTTTACCTCAATCGGCGTTGTTAGTGCTCTGTTACAGATTCCAAGTGCATTGCTGGCAGTGGTTTGGTGTAAGTTGAAGGTGCCAACCGATCCGGTAACGGAGACGCTATTGCTCCGCACTCTCGGATCGCCTAACCGATTGTTACTGAAGATTATATCAACATTTTTGGAAAGCGCATTGTAAATTGGACTGGACTTCGAGGAGGCGGAAAACGCCCTCTTGCTGGCTTTCACTTTTGCTCCGTGTTGAGTCACTTCTGTCCCGATCCTGCCACCTCACTGAAGTGTGTGGCGGTGAAGATGAATGCAGTCAGAGCTTGGGAGTTGGGTCCAAAATAGGTGTTTCTGCACCACAGAACTTCGATTGCGTGAGAAATTAAAGTTGAAGGGCCCGACTCCATAGGCAGTCAAGCATTACAGCACTGTCACCTGTCTGTCTTGGTCAGGTCTCTGTAACTGATAGAGTTGATTAGGACATCCCAGCTACCAGAGTAAAAATTCGTCTTCAAATCTCGGTGAGTATTCTAAACAAAGCTCAGTTTTCAATTGTTAGACACGTGTCTACGCACACCAAACGCTTTCTGCTTTGTATGATGGTGTGAATTGTACCCTGCGCGCGTCGAAGTGATTGAGATGTGATTTCAACTTCTGGCGGTTTAGGCAACGAAGTTCTTGTCCGTCTCTCTCGGCACCTATTTTCTTCAGGGCAGCTTAACTTGTACTGCGCAATAGGATTTTCAGTGAGCATGCCCATTCACTGGGTAATTGGATCCGTCGAATTGCACTCAGGAGGAAGGAAATGTTACCTTGACTTCAATGGAATGGAGTTGGCATATACCCAGCTAGGTCCTATTCTGATGACCACTTGTAAACTCGAAACGAAATATTCTGGAGTCATGGATCAGTAATATACTTGTTAGAGGCCGTAGATACTTGCTGAATAGAAAAGAGCCGTTGGGAAGGAATGTGAGGCAACATGCTTTCTCCGCACACTGCGTCTGCAGACTTTTCTGCCTATTTCTTGATGACATGCATGCTCGACACGACTGCATTATAGAGCAGGAATCCAATTGCGGAATGTACTGGTGGTGCTGCCCATTGACATTACGGAATTGATTCTCGCAAGAACTATTGAGATTTTAAGGCTCACCCTGCTCCAATGTCAGTTTCGAAAGAAGTTCGGGGGTGCCTCGCTTTTGCAGTATGGTGGGTTTTTGCCGTCTTTCCAGCAGTGCCCTTTCTCCCCATTGGCAGGACCGCAGGGTCTCTTCTGGGCGCATGTCTCATGATTGTCCTCGAGGTGATCTCTCCAGATGAAGCATTCGAGGCAGTGGATCTCCCCATTCTTGGTCTGTTGTTCGGGACTATGGTTGTGAGTGTACACCTCGAAAGGGCAGAGCTATTCAAGTATTTGAGGCACGCACTCTCGTGGAAAACTCGGGGCGGCAAGGATCTACTCTGCAGGGTATGTCTGCTAGCTGCTCTGTCAAGCGCAGTGTTCACAAATGATACAACATGTGTTGTATTAACAGGATTTGTGCTGGAAATTTGTAGGCAGAAGAATCTCCATCCCAAGCCATTTCTCCTGGCCCTTGCTTCTAGCTCCAACATTGGCTCTGCTGCTACGCCAATTGGAAACCCTCAGAATCTGGTCATTGCTATCCAGAGTGGTATTAGTTTTGGTCGTTTTTTAACGGGTGTTCTTCCTGGCATGGTAGTTGGATTGGTCGTGAACACCTCGATATTGCTGCTAGTGTGCGGGCGTTCTCTCATACGAGATCCAGGTGGTACTGTGTGCACCCAGAACAAATCGACTCCTGTACAGGAAAACTCAAGGGGAGAAGCCCTGCAGAATGTCCCACAAAATGGCCGTGTAGAAGTTGAACTACGGTGGATTTCACACTACAATCCTTCTGAGTCAAACAGTCCAACGAATGGCGAAATTACACACGTTTATATCGAACAAGGTGAAGTAGTTGGGAGTCCCGTGCAAAATGCTAAGTCAATTGTGGAATCTGAAATTGCAACAGGGGAAGTGTTCAGAGAAAGACCCGTTGATGATATAGAAGCACATGCGGCTGCATCAGGAGTACAAAGTGATGGCCCAACTCCCCTGAGTAGTGTGATGTTATTTGGAAGAAAGTGTGCTGCTAAGACTGGTCGGAGATGTAAGCGCTTAAGAGCATTTTGGATGAAACATTCGCGAAGAATATGGAAAATATGTGTCTACTTAGTGACACTTGGGATGCTGGCTGCTCTTTTAGCCGGGCTCAGTCTTCCTTGGACTGCGATAACAGCTGCTGTGGTACTGATGGTGCTTGATTTTTCAGATGCCGGACCGAACCTTGCCAAGGTATAGTCTGCTCTCACGCCTGTACCGTTTCAAGGAATTAATTCGTTTCCGAGCATGGGTACTTGGTGTACTAAAGTTGCATTGCTATTGATGAGACAGCATGGAATACAATAGTCCCACTTGTCTGTTCGTGAATGAATTTAACCTGTGTAGAAATACATAGTAGCCTTATAATATGGAGGACTAAATTGTCCTCCACATGGCAAATGGCCAATTCCCTGTTGCCTGCAAACTGGCAAAGCAAGCCAGCAGAAAATCACTTTTGACTCCTAGACGCATAATGTTGCAAGTTCTAGAGAGCTGTATCATTCCCTTACCTCCTTGTTTCCCAAGCTTCTTCACCTTTCTCCTCACCTCATTCCAACTCATATTGTGCCCCCTATTATGTCATGGTAGCAAATGCTGAGAGCAAGCAATGCTGCTGATGCCCTGCTCCAGCAAGGTTCTATCATGAACCTATTGGAACATGAACATGAAGGAGAGCAAGAGATGGACGGGTTACCTTGGATGAGCCCTTTCTTTGCATTCTTTGTAGAAGCCCTGGGTGTGCATGTGTATGTAAGTGTGTGTTAGGAAAGTAGTGGAGTTCTCTTCTTGACATAGATTCTTCTCTTTCTTACCTCTCAAGACAAGGAAGTAGTCTTGATTCCATTCTGGGTGCTGATTAGAAGGAGCTGTGAGCATTTCTCTGCATTGATCACAATTATGAGAGATTTCTCCCTGTGGGGTTTTCCTGAGATATGCCAATGCACTATGGTATATTGTTGTTCTGCTCTTTGAAATAATTTGTTCCTTTACATGTGAATTCCATTGCTAGAATGAAAAAATCTTGTGCAGAGACTACAGTGTTGGATGAACAGAAGAAAAAAAAAACTTTGCCAGGTGATTTTAGGATCATTTGTCCTAAAGATATTTTAATTAAACACATTTCATAATTAATTAGACGACATGACTTTCCGCTCTGGCTCTGGTGAGTTGATTGATTCTGTTTCGGCTCACTTCCTGAAATCTCATCTGTAAATCTCGTTTGTTCTTGTGCAGGTATCGTACTCATTGTTAGTGTTTTTCTCTGGCATGTTCATTGCTACTGCGGGCTTTAACGCGACTAATGCTCCCGAACAATTTTGGTCAGCAGTAGAACCACATGCCCAGATTTCTACTGCGAGCGGGGTAGCCGTACTCTCTCTGGTTGTTACTGTGCTGTCGAATGTGGCATCCAATGTTCCAACAGGTATTGATTATTTTATAAACTGTAAGCCTTAAGTGATATATCTCAGTACCTTGCATTGATTTTCTTCGCCCAATTGATATATATGTCCGACATATACTCAAGTTACACTGATCCACTTACTTTCGATTGTTTGTGTTGATTTGCAGTTTTGTTATTGGGACCAAGGGTGGCAGCCTCTGCTGCAGCTACCCCGGGAGCAAGTTCTGAAAAGGCCTGGTTGATCTTGGCGTGGGTGAGTACAGTGGCTGGGAACTTGACGTTGGTAGGCTCGGCAGCAAATCTAATCGTCTGCGAACAGGCCAGACCAACTCCATCAGACAAAGCGCTCCGTGAAGAGCGGATGAATGAAGGGCCAGCCAAGTACCACCTGTCATTTTGGAACCATCTGAAGTTCGGATTTCCGTCTACTTTGGTAGTCACTGCTGCAGGTTTGGTGCCTTTCATTCGAAAATTCTGACCTTTTGGAGCATTGGTCGTGTGTGTTGGAATCAACTTCTACGATGATTCAGCGTGGAGGAGCACTTCATGTGGTAATGTTGTGCACATTTATTGGCCGAGAGCTTTACATTGGTAGAGTCTGCAGCTTAGCTGTAAAATGTACACAAATTAGATCAACATTACCATATTCTGACCTTCTGATGGAGCACTGGAGTACTGGCTGTATGTGTTGGAATCAAGTTCTGACATGATTCAGCTTCGCGGAGCACTTCACGTGGTAATGTTGGTCTAAATCGTGTACCTTTAATACTACTTCCTCTTCTTACAAGGCGGACAATGCCGTTGCCATCCCTCCTTACTTCAAGGCCGTGTACCCAACGCGAGTACAGAGGCATCTATCACTGTGGGTCTACTATTGTCGAGCGCGCTACGGAAAGGCTTGACCCCCTTCGGTACGCATCTAACCTTCAAGTACACCTTGCGGATGGGCTCCAACGCCCTCTTCCGATCCGCGCTTGCGGATTTCAAGACCGGTCAGCTTAACGCCGAGGGTCGATTGGCTGCTGGCTTCGGTGCAGGTGTTTTGGAAGCTGTTGTGATCGTCACTCCTTTCGAGGTTTGTGCCACCGTCTCGTGTCTGCCTTTTGTTTTCTTTTTGCTTTGTTTTTTTGTTTTGTTTTTTTTTCCAAGCTTGCTCTGTTTGCAGAGTCATTAGAGTTTTTAGGAATTCTCGTCGCGTGGAGTGGATGGTATGGTTTCCACTGCGAGAAATTCAACCAATTACATTTCGCGTTCTTGTTTGGTTTCTGTTGTTTGCCTGTGTCTGTTTAGAGGTAGAACTTTCGTGGCATCACTTAAATTTTTGTGGACATCCACCAGTTTAATTCATTTCAAAGCTGATCGATCGTGGGTCCGAATTGGAATAGTCCCGAAGTGGGTCTATCCTTCGAGTACTGCGAGGCTTTATCATTTTCTAAAGTCGAATTTCTCGTGGTGACGGTCGTCCTTCTATGATACATACCTCTTCTTGTGTTGAAAGACCATACATGCCTATGACACACTCTCTGCTGACCAGCACACTAACCTAGTTGTAGATATATCTGAACTCGTCGACAGTAAGCTTACTTCATGGGCTATCTTCTGGGTGTGTATCGATGATCTTTGCTAGCTGTGTAATTGCTTAACTGGAAACTCAATTGCACGATTATATTTGACACGGAGGTCTTCTTTTGTAGGTTGTGAAAATCAAGCTTCAACAACAGAGAGGATTAGGGCAAGAGTTGCTGAAGTATAAGGGGCCTGTGCACTGTGCCACCACAATTGTGCGTGAAGAGGGGTTGAGGGGTCAAGGCTCATATTGGCTCCTTTGAGACATTATCCAAAGTAGACATCTACATGAAAGAGAACCATGAGTGCATGCCACCTCACTGGCAGAGACAGAGGAGTTTGGGTGACGCACAACTTGCCAGTATTGACGGTCGTTAATCTCAAATACCACCCCGCCAGATTCACCCTCATCTCTCCTCCCCACCAGGCTCCCAAGTGACGCTCCGCTACTGAATTCATAGCCCCACGGCTAAAAGTATCGCCGCTGGAAGTTGGGGGGCAATAAGAAAAATCATGCCGACAATTCATTACCCCGCATCATTTGGCTCTGGTGGTTGAAAACAACACTTGGAGCACTACACCATGCATCTGATTGGTTTTTTTGTGATCATGTGTGTAAATTGCGTGAAAAAATAAATTCTCGGAACTTTACTGATGAATCAATAGGAGTTGCATGACAGAGAGACAAGAACTGAAGAGAATATCTGAAGCTCAGAGTATATGTACATTCTACAAGCTCAGCTAAGGAAAAATCAGTGAATTATATTAAGAATTCTTAACACTAATCCTACAGGTGTAAACCCAGGTGCCACATGTCAAAAAGAAGTCCCGCAGAACATCTAAGACTGACGGTGGTCGATACAGTGGGATGGAGAGTGGTGCTTATTTGTGTTACATTGTCTCATTACGTTGCGACTGGAAATGAACTTGCTAAATCTTGGTTCCAGATCTGGGTTTCATAAGGCGGATGTTCAGCATTCTTCCTTAATCGACGAGTTTTGACACACCATTCTGGAACAATGAAACCAGGCAATGTTTCCAAGGTGATTTACATCTGGATTCTCACTTTCTTTCTTTCTGACAACGGAATGCCAAAACCATCCTCGCCTTCATTACTCAATTTTTTACTCATTACTTGTTTTTCAAATCAAAAACCTTCAACATAAGCGTAGTGCACATGTGGTTAATATGTGTGTGACATCAAACAGAATGGTGGAAATTACCTTTCCATTAAATTGAGCTTTTTCAAAAGTGTTATCTGTTCAATTTACGACAAGCCAGATCCAGAAGAGCGAATAGATGTGTTAGTGAGCGACCCAGAAGAAATGATTCATTCGCCGTCATCGACTTTAGATCGGGTCCTAGTTTATTTCCACCCATTTGTTAAAGGATCGTCGGTACAGTGGAACAAACGAAGCACTTTCTTTCCCGAGTCACTTACGGCAAATGCGTCTTCGATGATGCTGCTGCTTCTCCAAGGAGAGAGATTTATTTTCTTTACGCGGCTCACGAGGTTTGCTCAGCATTGATGTCCTCGTGATAGCATCAAAATGTACCAAATAATGCACCGCGTATGTCTGCAGACATTGGGTCATTCGTCAGTATAGTGAGCACAGGATAGGAATGGGCTTCAGAAATTCCCTGAGTATATTTGTTTAAGTCGGTTCCCTTTGACTCTCTAAAGTACTACTAAAATTGATGAGGTTCCAAAAAAATTCCTAAATTCGGATCCAAAAGTGGCCAATGGAGCCATCATTGGCCGTCATGGATGCTCCATGATTCGCTTCGCGCCACATTTAAAATATAAAATATCAGAGATTCTACAGATTCCTTGTGAAATTGCCCTCCTGCCCTCGAGTAGTCTTGCGCTTTAGGATTCTTCGTAATGGGATCAAGTCTGACAGCCACCCCATTTTCCACCTTTTGGTCCTAAATTGTCGGTAAAATTGGTTACTATAAGGATTTTTGGAGATTTCGGAGCACCTCGTCGGTTTCCTGGCAGAAAGGGTTTGCAGCTCTGAGGATCAGTTTCTCTCGTTCTCGTCGAGAATCAACAACACACAAGTCGGGTTCTCCGAAATAAGAAGATGGAGGTGTGCCGAAAATTCTGCCTGCGCGTCTTCGATGTTCCAGCACTGCTTGCATCGGCTCCCCATTCAGCAGATTTTCGTACTGGCCATGTGAGTGATAATCCCATCTAGCCGACATGGTGTGTTTCCTTGCTCTGGACGTGATACTAAATGTGCGTAGCTGAAATTCAGGGAACTTGTGTGTTGCTTATGCTTCGATACAAACGACTGGCTCGAAAGAATCTGTGAAAATGGCTGACACCGAGTGTTCCGTAGCAGACGAATCTGGTAGTGGTGGTGGTGATGACGATCTCTATCTCTCGCGCCCGCTCTACCTAAATCGTAGTTTGCCAAGGGTTCCTCGTTAATTTGTTAAATCGATCGGTTGCCTGAACTTGATCTGAAGGCGTCTCAGGATTGTTGTCGTTATCTAGTCAACGAGCCCGTCGCTATCAGTGTTGTCTAATTGCTGATAACCGACACATCATTCAACTCAAAGTGTGTCCGGATCTTACACGTGATGTGGTTATTTATGTATTTGTTTTAGTTATTTGTTATTTGTTATAGTTGTTCCAGAAGAACAACAGTGTCCTACATTTCTTTTGATGACTCAGGCATTCTATCATCCTATCTCAGTGGCTATCCCTCCAAATGTTTAGGACTCCAGAAGTTGAAGTGTAGTCCCGGCTCTGAGTTCCTCCTCCTGAATTTGAAGCAGTGGTAGATTTCTAGTTCTCCCTCAGCAAGACGAAATCCTTCCAGCGAAAAGAATTCCGTAATGATTGGCAAACGCTGGTTGCTCGTTTTTTAAGCGAATAGGTAGGGCCGACCCAATGCCATTCCCAAGCAAGCTGCAGTAAACAGCTTGGATTCTTCGGAAAGAATTGTACATTGGGAAATTTGTGTGTTCCTAACTTAGCTCTATTCTATGCAGGAGTATATATTTTGCGCATGGATGGGCGAGCACTTCAGATGATGGCGAGCGTCAATCTTGAAACCTTTAGAAGGAATCCTTCTGCAATAATCAACCTCAAGGCTGACTATCAGAAAACCAAGCCTGGCTAAATAAACCGAATTCCTTTGGGGGAACCAAGACCAAGCGCGGTACCAATGGATTGTGTCATAGAATTGTATGATGCTAGTTCCAGTTACCGACAATTTCAGTAATTGTTCAAGTCTGGATCAGTTTATTCCAGAGTGGCGATGGCGTGGACACCAGAAGTCAAATTTGTCCAGGGATGTATTGCCTTCGTGATATGGTGGGTGCTGGCAGTCTTCCCAGCATTCCCCCTGCTACCGATTGGGCGAACGGCAGGTTCTCTAGTGGGTGCTTCTCTCATGGTCGTGTTTGGAGTGATATCACCAGACGATGCCTTCAACGCGGTGGATCTCCCCATTCTCGGACTCTTGTTTGCCACTATGGTTGTCAGTGTTTACCTTGAAAGAGCAAAAGTATTCGATTATTTGGCCTCAGCACTCTCATGGAAAACTCGGGGTGGGAAGGATCTCATGTGTAGGGTGTGTGTACTGGCAGCGATATCTAGTGCTGTATTCACAAATGACAGCACCTGTGTTGTGCTGACTGGATTCGTTCTCAAGCTTTGCGATGAGAAGAAACTCGATCCCAAGCCGTTTCTTATAGCTCTTGCTTGCAGCTCCAATATTGGCTCTGCTGCGACTCCCATTGGCAACCCACAGAACCTCGTTATTGCCGTGCAAGGCAGACTTGGATTCTGGCAATTTGTTTTTGGGATACTTCCTGCAGTTGTAGCTGGGATGCTGATCAATATGATCGGGTTGTTGTTGATATATGGGTCTCACCTCTCGTTGAAACCAACTGGGAATGACAGTGAAGAAATCAATGGATCAGATTATGCAGATGAAGACATAGGGTTGTTACAGGACGATGACACGGAGCAGTCAGCGTTGAGAAGCCGCAGCTTCCATGTCGAGACTGTAAATACAAGAGGTTCTAGGTTCCCTTGGAAGTTTGTGAACAAACACAAGGAGAAGATATGGAAATCACTGTTGTTTTTTGGCCTTATTGCAATATGGATAGCTGGTGCAGCGATGCATACATTTGAAGCAGGGGTGGGGCTCCCGTGGACTGCTATCACAGCTGCCGTGATTCTGACGGTGGTCGATTTCTCAGATGCCACTGAAACTCTGGACAAGGTATTGTGCTCATCTGTCTCAATAATTTTTTTTCTATTGCACAATTTTCGGGATAAATCATCTCCTACTGAGTAGGAAATCACCTCTGAGAACCAACGGGCTCCCAGTTTTGTGGAAATCAACGTTGTAAAAAGATCGCAATTGACTACCCTCTGAAAGTCCCACAGCATGTCTAACCGTGTTCAGAAATATAATTGGTGTGATTGATTTCTCTTGTTCATTTGCTGCTGTGTGACGTATGCCACCTTCAGGTTTCGTATTCTATCCTGGTTTTCTTCTCCGGCATGTTCATCACCGTGGAGGGCTTTAACAGAACTGGAGCTCCAGCACGGTTCTGGTTAGCAGTGGAGCCTTACTCCCGAATCGACACTAAAAGTGGCAAGGCAATCCTCTCGGTAGTTGTGACCTTTCTCTCAAACGTGGCATCGAACGTTCCAACAGGTATGCGGCTCTGCACCTATTATACCCAACCTGGGATCTCACTCAGCACATGTAGCATCAACTGATTCCTGCATTTCTCACCATCGTCTCCTTTCGCAGCCTGAGAAAACAGTTGCTTATTTCAGTCGATGGGTTGTTGTGTGGTTGGATCACAGTGCTGCTGTTGGGTCCAAGAGTGGCATCATCCGCTCAGGCCACAGATGGAGCCAGTCCTGACCAGGCATGGCTGATTCTGGCATGGGTGAGCACCGTAGCCGGGAATCTGACGCTAGTGGGGTCGGCAGCCAACATCATCGTGTGCGAGAAAGCTCGAACTGACCCCAACAAAAGCTACAACTTGACGTTCTGGGAGCACCTCAAGTTTGGATTTGTTTCAACGCTAGTTGTCATTTTTGTAGGCTTGCCTTTCATAGGTTAGATAGATCGATCATGCCGCTGTTGGTAGATGAGATTGGAGTGGGAGGATTTCATCACAAATTCATCGTTTCTAGTACATTTCTAATGCGCCATTGCAATCAATGAACTGTGATACTACTCGAATATCCCACCCATTAGTTTGACTATGCTCATAATGCAATTCTTTATTGGTTTTCTTATTTATTTTTCTTCTATTTTATTTAAGTCCTCCTTTAATGTACTGTTCTGCTTTACAATGAATAATGTTAATGAGGATATGGGAGGATAACTTTATATTTGAAATTTTTGACAAATATCAAAGAATGGCACATCAAAACGCATCTTACTCTGAGAATGAGTGCCAAGAGCCCATCTGGAAGTATTAATGAAGCTTCCCGTCTTTGCTCTGCAAATTACCGTGCGAAATGTAATGCCAGACGAGACCAAGCAGTACTAACTTTACACTCTTAATACTCAGACACGAAATCCGCAACACGTACTCAATTCCAACCATGTCTGTGCTGAACCACCAATGTGTCACATCAACCGTAGGATGTAAATGGAATCGGAGCTACCAAACCGAAACCCTTAGCATTACAACATGAAAAGTACTTACGTTACGATTACGATATTGTTGAGGAATTCAGTAGTCCGTAGATAAGGTGCGCTAACTTTGCCAGAACCGATCGATGACTGCAAACGGGGAAAAAGAAATAAACACAATGACTAACATGGATCACATTAAAACACACACACAAAGAGAAACTCTGAAAGAGCAGATGTGAACAGGAGAGGATCATATGTAGTTTGTACATCAATGATTTAACTTGCTCGTATCCATTACAGAATTAAATGAGTATTCGACTCTCTTGAGCATGAACTCCCTTAAAATACCAAATTTGATTACCAAACCACAAAGACGATGCAAAAACAATTTGTCACTGAATGTACGATGTGAAAGAAACTCATTAACTGATGAACAACTCGAAGGCAACTCTCATCATCAAAGACAACGTCATTCTGCAAAGATAAAATAAAATACAAAAACCCTAAACCTGGAGGAATGTTACTCCCGATGTTGCATGATAGAACCCCAACGATTGCAGGTCACGATTCCAGACGCACAGATTGTGAGATCATCAATCAAAACGTTTAGTTTGAATTGCATAGAAGACACAAAAGGAACACCCAAAATTTCGACGGAAAATGTCAGAATTCTTCCAGCATAGAAAAAAAAAAAACAAACAAACAAACAAAAAAGAAACGAAAAAAAAAGGGGGTTGAAGCTCCAGTCACTGTTGAATAGAAAGACGAGACCGAAAAGGAAAGGAAACCTGAGAGGTTCAGAGAAAAAGCTTTTGATGAGTTAATGCGGTTGTTAGCGATGCTGCATCCTCTGACGCAACTGCATGAGGAATCGTCCAGTTTCAAACTGCAGACACGATGAGATGTGGATGCTTGGGAAAGGAGTACGTAAGTCGAGGATGAAGCGCCGAGGATGAAGCGCTCCATCGAGGACATACTGAGTGATTCGATGATCGGTGGAAAAAAACACCCGTCTATCAATGTGGGGATTGAATCGCTCGCCTCTTACAGAGACCCACTCCCGCCTTTCTCTTTGATCAGACTTTAGTCAACACTGAGGTGGCACATGAAAACTCGTAACAGTTACGAAAGATTTTTTTTCATTATAAATTTACACCGAAAAAAGCATTTTAAATTTTGAAGTTTTATTAGCTACAAGGTGTTCGTTAGTCAATTTGAGGCAATTATATCATTATTTACAAAGAGTACTGCCAAAACTTATTGAGAAAATATAAAGAATAAATCATTGGTTTATTTTATGAACAGTCAACTACATGGATGAGTAGGTGCCAACGAATACTTAAAATGATTAAACATTCACCATTCACCATGTTCAATGACCATCGAAAGTATTAAACATGCGAATCGGGGAGAAATACTTTCCCTTCTCCTTTTTGTTACCTGGTCTCCATCATCCTTTCAGTCAGCCTTGCGTAGTAAGAGACAGAACCGTCACAAGGATCCAGCGTCACGCCCCTGGAACCAGGTTCCTTCTGCCGCAATAGCTCTCTCTCTCCCTCTCTCTCTCTCTAGCTGAAACCAATCACAGCGAAACTCTGGAAGTCCATTTCCAGACGTTACGAAGCAGAAAATTGACAATGTAGACTAAATTGAATCTGGAGGCTTTTCGGGGATTAAATATCATGTTTATGGTGTAGAGATCACAAGTAAGAAACAAACAATGAATGAATCTGAAAAGAATTCTTAATTGCTGCCTAATTCCGTCCGAGACCGGAGCTTTTTCTAATCAGCGTGGTCATGGACATGTCCTTGCTCGTTAGTCAGTCGACTTAGTCGTCTATCTGACCGCCCTAAAATTTGGTTGCAGGAATAATCGCTAAGCGCCCAGGAGTTGCGGAATGTTTTTAGGATAAGTGTAGCCAGAGCCAAAGAATCTCTGCGAGATCAAAATGTTGGTCTTCTCAGTGGGGTGGTAAGGATCCCAGAATACGTAGTCAAATCGATTGGGGCAGAAGGTCATGTTGGGCAAGCAGGGGACGAGGCCCCTGTATTGCGGTCCCCTTCCACAGCACCCGATGTCCTTCACGGTGAAACCTACAACACAATTTATCAAATGATCACGTCAAATCCACAATACAAAGACCAGCCAAGGCCATGAATCTGACATTTATTAAGGGTTGGAGTTTCAGCAAAACTCACCATAGTCGCGTGGTGATGCTATGATCTCTCCTACAGCCCTGTAAACATCTAAGTAGATGTAGTCGGAGCCAGGAAGATTGGCATTGAGCTCATCCACAATCCGCAGAATACCTTTGTTGAAGTAGATTGCATCCTCGTTGGCTTTCTCGTCGCAAATGCCGTTTCTCCTCAGTGCCAACGTGAGCTGGAAGGGGCAGCAGCCGATGGGACCAAGTGATGCTATAGCGACTTTGCGTCCTCCCATGCTGTAAATTTGCTGCACCCGATGGACAATTTATTTTAATTCATGTTCTAGCTCAGAGACATCTTCGTGGTGAATGATCACTCGAATTTGAATACTTACTGAGAGCTGGCCTTTGTATTTGTCAAGAACCATGTCCGTGTATTGGGTGACGGTCATGTTCCTACTGAAAGGGGAGCCAGGGATGAAGTAATTGTCCAGGAAGTCGTTGGAGCCGAGATTGAAGTAGAAGAGCGACTTGGAGAGGAGTTCAGTGGTTGCCTCCTCACCAATCTGTGCAACGATTTGGGTCTTGGTGTTGGCAAAGTCTTGTAATTGCTGATCCAGTGATATTCGCGAGATCTATAACAAACGGATTGATCATCAGGTCGATCACTTGCAAGCAGTTGATGCACGTAATTGCAACTTCAGTGGCCCGAACATAGTTAAGTTTGTGATAAGGCATGCAAAGACAGTTTGCAGCGAAAATGTGTTCGAGTTGCGATACCGACTGGCTTACAAAGAGGTAACCGGAGGAGGGCAAAATTCCAGCAGCTCCAGAAGCGTAGTTCACCCCGTTCAAAATTGCCGGTCCTTTAGTTTCGGGAGCCATATATGGAGGGATGAAATCCGGAATGCCAATCGATTGCCCTGCCACAACCAAGTTTACCAGAATCAATCCGGCGAGTAGACAAGCTCATCGCAGAAACTGCTTGAAGTTTACAAGCAAAACACTCAATAATCCTTTTTCTCAGTTTTCAGCAAAACAGGACTTCACTTAAAATCCAGCGGAGCTGATTAAGTGACTGGCTTACCAAGGATATCGGTGGCGGTTCGACCGTTGCAGTATCTCCCGGTGGCTTTCCCATTGGGGAAGTCAATGCCATTAGGCGGCGCATCTGCCCTGGACAGTGTGCGAAGGTAGTTGTTGTTGCCTGGGTCTGAGAGCGAGTCGCCGAAGATGAAATAGGCCGGTGCCAGTCTCTTTGTCTGAGCCATGGCTTCTGATGCTATGAGAAGCACCGTCAGGGTAAAAACTACAGCGCATCTTCGTGAATACTCCATCTCTGCAGCACATGTCGCCATCTCCAGACATGTTAGTGGGAGCTGAGACAAGCAACATTTCATGAAATACGCACTAGTGTAACGTGACAGCAATACAATGCCAATGCATCTTCACGTGTGAAAATCATTACTGAACTTTGTTGAGCAATGCCACACTCTACTAGTCATCGTTACACTGCTGCGGATGAAGCACCAAAATATCTCAACTTTCGCCCACTTCTGCGCTAGCTTCTAAGAGTACTGGATGAGCACAAGTTCAGTTGCACATTGCTTCGAACCTGACCAACAATCACCATGCAAGACGAAAGCAACTGAGTGACAAACGGCGATATCGATTGAGAAGCGCCGCTTGAAGAGGAGATAAAATGGCCAGAATTGAGAGCTGAGCTGGTGAGGCTTATAGTACAAACGGGTACTGAGAGTGAGGTATTCAAGAAGGATGAGCTCACCTGAATGGCGATGAGTAATAGCTGCAGATGAAACTGCAACGTTAGTCTCAGCTTCCGATATTAAGCATCCACGACGTTCTCGTAGATACAACTGTGGCTTCAAGGATAAATAAGAAAAACAAAAATAAAAACATAAGCAAAAGAAAGCACCATACAAACTTGATATCCCTGCGGCCTGTCAAAGACAGCCTGTTGGGAACACTACAGCCGTGCTTTTGCTGCACCTCACATCAATGCAACATGAGTTTGGACTCTTGCATATTCAATGCACGCTTGTAGGCTCGGCATCATTTCCTTACGTCAGGGGCAGGACACTTTAACCGACACTAATGTCACTAGCATGGGGATCACAACCCAGCAATCCCTCTCAATACCTCGACTACTGCGTTGCCCTCATCAGGTGAAATTATGTCTGAAATAGAAACGCGGCACCGTACTGCGCATCCAACGTTGTTGCAAACGCCACGCAGAACGGGGGGGGGGGGGGATGTGGTGGGGGGATGGGAGAGGGGGGATTGTTTATTCCACGCGCAGACTACAAAAGGGGGTCGCGCAGGAGGGGGGGTGGGGTGAGAGAGTACGTTCGTCCGTGATGTTGATGCTGATGCTTATGGGACTGCCCACTTGTCTGTCGCCGTTGCTGGTTGTTAGGTGCCACTGCTGCATTCACGCCTCGTCGCCGTCGCCGTCGGGATTCATTCCACCGTCGCCTTGCAGAGTTGGGGTGACTAGTTTCTCACCCCCATCCATCTATGTCCGTGTGTGTTAACTGATTATTCTAGACCTATTTATTCTGTGGTTGTATATCCTAATTTAACGCTGGGCTTGGCACCATGAAAGGCATGGTAACATCAAGGCTGTCATCAGCATTATATATATTATTTATTTATTTATTTATTTATTAATGTCTTTTTCTTTGTTAATGTTTTATTCTTGTGTGACAATTGAGGGTGAAATTAATGTTGAGATGAAAAATAAAATGGTCTTTAGTGTAAATTATGGTTCTATTTCCAATTTCTGATGTAGTTGTTATTGTACAGTAATCTTCTTGCATATATAGATAGATATATTCTAGTTTCATTTTTTTTTTTAAATATGTATATTGTTGGATTTCATTAAAAGCATATTCAAATTACAAAATACTATTTAGAATGATAGGAAAAGTAAATAAATAAATAGGTGGTGGATTGTGGTAACAACATCAAAACTGTCATGGTTTGTGGTAGATGATAGATTGCAGTGGCATTAGCAATACTCTATTGTGTGTGAATATATATATATATATATATATACAAGCATACATACACTATTTATTAATCCCTTCACTATTTGACTAAATTGGTGGTGGTAGATACTTTATGCAAAACTTATTATTTCAATACATTTTTTGGACTAATTTGAGGTTCAATCCTCAAGTTGATTCATGTGTGTTTAGTGTGTCTTTTTAATAATCATATAAAGATAAATAATAATAATAATAAATAATATATATATATATATATATATATATATCACTTGTACAATATACATATGGGTATTGTCAATGCCACTACAATTTTTGCTACTATTGCCATCAACTCAACATACATTTTTAGCATTCTATTCTAATAAAAAGATGTTAGTATTTAATATATACAATCCACCACCTATTTCTTTAGTCTTTTAAATTCTAATTAAAAAAAATCTAATAGTTCCTTATTTTTCCTTTTCAAACTATATAAAATATAATGTAAATTAAAATTAAAGTTATTTTAAAAGTTAAAAAAGAAAAAGTTGTGGTGATGATAGCAAAAACTAAGATGATAAATTGTGGTAGGAGTAGCAAAAACTGTGGTGGCAATAGCAACACCCCTCCATATGTGTATACACATATATATATACAAACCTAAATCCTGAACTTAATGTAAAGCTTCATAATCATCGTGATAGTGGATCTCCATCCTCAAGAGCCAGGTTCCATGGATCTATCTTTTCCGGGGTCCGGTGACAAATTCAATTAATCAATCGGGACGAATCTGACGCCCACGAGATCCGTGCCTGGCGAGTGCCGGAAAGGAGATCTGACACACTACAAACACCCTCACCCAAAATCATGTGCAGGCAATGCATTCAATTGAAATGAAATCCAGAGTGGTACTTGAATCTTGCCCCAGTCTAATACAACCAAACACCCTCTGCCCCAATTGACCACTCAATCAAAGACTCTTTCAAGTCATCCTCTTCGAACACCGCCGCTTGTAATGCGTTCGCTCGCACTGATCCATCCCACTGGAGTTTCCGCAACGAGGAGTGTTTCGAATCATCGACGACCACCCACACTTGGCTTTGTTCAATGGAGCCACAAGAGTTAGGTGGCAGACTGTGAAGCTATGCATACATTGTCAAGCTGTGCAGTGTCACTCTCAGTTCAGATTCAGAGAGTGGGTGGAGCTCACCATCGCACCTGAGCTGTGACTTCACTGCGTCGACGATTGTGAGATTGGCTTTGCTTGCGTTTGCGTTGCGGCGGTATGACCCTTAGAGACTGGAGTTGTGACAGCATTTCTTGCATCCGAATGTCTGCATGATGGTGCAGTAAGTATGAAGGTGTTCTCATGGAGTGGATCTGGTCCAATCTCCATGATATATTGGACCCAGATTATATTGTAGATTGTGCAATATATGTTCAGTACTAGAGACATGATACTATTGAATAACAATAATAATAACTAACTAACTATTTGTTAACATGAACAATTTCTCTATGTTTTTAGAGACATGCAAACAGTTTTGAGATTTTATTTTGATAGTCAGAATGCCATTTACGAAGATTTTAATCCGTTTTTTAATTTTTATAATCAGACTAAACATGTTAACATCAATTTTTTACTTTTGTATGGAATCATGTCCAATCTTAAACCTTATGAATAAATCAATGTAGCATCAAAAATGTTGATATTTAACCAAAGTAATATAAGTGCATTCTTTTAATGATTTTTATTTTTTTGATTTTTACCTCTAAATAATTCAATATTAAATTAGAAGTAATACAAAAGTAATGAGTTACTAGTTGACAAGTTACTAGTTTTACTGTTGTTCATGTCTTAGTAATAGGAATATATATGAGTGTCGAGGCCATAACACCAAAATTAGATCTACAACCAAATCATGAGGAATTATCATTAAATATAAATAAAATAAAATAAACGCCAAAGAAATCTACTTTAAACCATTCTAACAAATACACTTCCACAAAAATATTTATTCAATCAATTTGTGAAGCAAAATATCCTAAAACTTTCTTGCAAAAATAATAAAAAAAACATATTAAAAAAATAAAGAAGAAGAAGAAGAAGAATCAAGCCCTGCATTCTACTTTATGCAAAGAGAAGTGGCTTGTAGATTGATTTGACCAATTCTACGAAATTTTAATGTATTACAAATTGGAATGGATATATTCTTTAACTCAAAAATAAATAAATTAAAAATATTTCATTCTTTAAGATAATTGCATATGTAAAAGTTGAAGGAATAACTAATGATTATCCTACAAACAATGCTGGATATGAAAAAGCTTTTGCTAATATGTATTTAAAGAAGACTTGGTTATTACAATTTTAATATGATGTAAGAAGCTTCACATTTCAAAATAAATCTTTAAAATTGACACTAAAATATGATTTTTAATTTTTTTACAAAGATTAATATGTGTTGAAGTGAACTTATTGCAACCATGTGGCTACAATAAAATATCTTTTTTATTTATAAAAAAAATAGTCATAATTCGAAAATATTATTTATAAATTTCTTAATGTTTAAAAAAAATATATATATATCATCATTATTATCTATTACTTACCATTTGTTTCAATTACTGTACCAAACACATTTGTTTGTTTGTTGTCATGATGTACATAATCAAATAAAAGATGGCAAGAACATGTGAATATCTTTATGTGATAATTTGACAAAATGATTTTTTGGGATTTGGACTTTCTTCTAACAAGGTAGGATTCAAATTTGATAGCTATCATGGAGACTATTACATTACTATATCTCAAGTGATATTTTGCTTTTCCTTTTATTCTTATTTTCTAGTTATAAAGCAAGCACACAAAGTCACTTATTAGTAATAATAAAAATTTTCATAATTATATCATATGCTCATATAGATTTACAAATATTTTGATGATAACATATCCTTTTTTAACACTCATATATGATATATGATATATATATATATATATATTGGAGAATGTTGAATAGACCTAGATTTTTACTAAGTTGACCTACCCATGATGAAGAATATGGTAGTTGTGATAGATGTGATTGATTTTTATTGGTTTTCTAATAGTGGAGAAATGAATCTAGAGGTCACTTGTTTTTCTCATGATGAATGGGTCAATTTAGTAAAAGCTTGGGTCTATTTAACATTCCCCTATACATATGTATAATGTATACTCAAAACTAAATGTATATTATTTTGAAATGGTTATATATTTATATTTGTTTACAAAGTGAATAAAAACATTCATTGAATTCAATTAGATTCATTTTGTGTCCTTCAATCAAAAAGAATAAAATTAAACTAATTCCTTATTTTTATCATCTCCTTTTGAATTTAAATTTTCAATCAGATTTCGAATAAGGTGGATTTAGAATGTGATGCTCTGTAAAAGCATGCGCCACGTGTACAGCTCCCTTCGCCACGTTTACAACCATGGCGCCACGTCCGATGGAGTTGGGGGGGGGGGGGTCTGCGCAGTGGAGAACTCAGTGCCCACCTCCTCCGATGCAACAAACATTATCTCAGTTCGGCGATCGATCGAAGGGCTTTGAAAGGAGCGCAATCGATCGATTGATCGTTCGGATTCTAGGTGGCATTAGTTTGCGCATCAGCGAGGAGTTGTCGCGATTCTGCGATCCGTGCATTTTGCAGTCGCAGAATTCATTTGTGTGGGTATCCATCCGGGGTTTAGGGTTTCCACTAGGAAGTTGTGTTTGTTGTTGTTGTTGTGGCTACGAAGCGCTTGAACGTTGTTCCGCTTTGAAGGATCGGATGTCTGCATGTTAGGGGAGGAAGGAGAATAAGCGACCATGATAGAGCCAAGCACATTCGACGTGATTGTAGTTGGGACGGGGCTGCCAGAGTCCATTCTGGCAGCATCTGTTGCTGCGTCGGGGAAGACGGTGTTGCATCTGGATGCGTATGAGGGCTATCTCTCTCCGTGGGCATCTCTCTATTTTTCCCAGATAGGTGATTTTGCGACAGCAGGAGGGTACTTGCCCAAATCCTCTTTCGCCCCTGAAGAGGAATTGAGCTTTACTGCTGAGGAGACGGAGTATCACACTTTGGAGTTGAAAGATGCTTCAGATTTATATTCAAATGTTAAGTTGGAGTGTACGGATGAGTCAGTTCTTGGGCGGCTGAATCGATATCACCTGGACTTGGCAGGTGATGATTTTACTCTGGCTACGTGGATTGGGACAAATTTGGGAATTTGTGGAGTCGGAAAAACTGTGTTCCGACTATGATTGGGTAGGGTTTTGTTGAATCTGTTTGCGGTGTAGAATGGTTGATGTGCTTGGTGATTGGCAGGACCTAAGGTTGTGTTCTGTGCTGGACCTTTGGTTGATGCACTGATAAAAGCGCAAGCTGATCATCATGTGAGATTTAAGGCCGTTGAGGCGAGCTACATATGGAGGTATTTTCTTTTCTTTCGCCGAGTCATGTGCCTCTCTGCTACTTTACTTGCTGAAAATTAGGTCTTTTTGCAGGTTTTATTGTTTGATTTAGAAGATTTATGGGCGGGTTTTTGCTGGTGAGAGTAGTACTTTTTGAATTTTGTAGATTATGTGTCCTGGCCATGTTGCCTGATCCTTTTCGCATATTTAATCCTCTGCTACATCGGTTTTGGTGATACTTGAGGTGTCTGATAGATTGTTACAGCATTTCATGAGTCATGGTCTAGGGGTTCCATATCTTTGTATATGGATGAATCGCAGTTGTGTACGTCGTATCATTAAGAGCTTGCAAATCTGCACGTCTGAGTTTGTTGCAGTTGTTTGATGCAGAGAAGATCAAATGAAAGCTGTTCCGGCATCTCGTGCCGATGTTTTTCGGGACAAGACCTTGGGCCTTTCTGATAAGAGATTCTTGATGCGCTTCTTCAAGCTAGTGTCTGAGTATACAGAGTCCGAGGGTGGAGTAATCGAGGCGCTGGCGCCTGGAGATCTTGACAAACCCTTTGTGGAACTTCTTCGGAGGCAGCAACTACCTACTTCAATCCAAGAGTATGATTACACTCTCAGTTGCCCTCTTTGTAATTATTTTAGTTCCACCGTTTCTATTGATACTGTTCTGGAGGTTGTGAAATCTGATTGGAGTGAGGTCTGTTCTTCAAATTTTCGGAATTATACAGCAAATAGTGGGCTCAGCATGTTTGAGCACCATAGTCACATGCTACGTATTTCCATTGTTTCAAACCAATGTCAGTATTGATGTAATATATAGCTTTCTGGTTATCTTCTCTCTAACTTGATTCTTAGTGGGTTACACTACCTGCATGATTATTTAATGTTCCTGGTTATGTCACTTAACGTAGGCAAGGTTTTGTTGTGTGCATATCAGAATTATCTTGTATGCAATTGCATTGGTGGATGTCGATCAGGAACACACATCAGATGCAACCAATCTCATATCAACCAAGGATGGACTTCAGACCTTAGCCCTCTATCTAGCCTCCGCAGTTAGGTAACTGTTCGTCATTCATGCTATGCTGGGAGAGGATCAGTTGTTTTCCCTTCTTTATCAATAATTACTTCGTTTGTTTCCTTAACTATTTCTGATGGTTGTGATATAATACCAGGTTTCCAGATGCACCTGGTGCTTTTTTGTATCCCATGTATGGGCATGGAGACTTGCCGCAAGCATTTTGTCGTTGTGCGGCTGTACGCGGAGCTATATATGTAAGACATTGCTTTCACAATGCAGATGCTAGTTATTCAATAAGACGTAATGCGGTGTAGATGGATTCAAAATATTGAAAGTATTGAAAGTGCATTTTTTGGTCGTATTGAAACGGATCGGTGCTCACTACAAAATTATATTTTATGTCCTGACATCCAGGTTTTGCGAATGCCGATCACCAATCTCCTCGTTAACAAGGTACTCCAACCTGCATTCTAGCAGGTGGCTCTTCATACAGTGACGTTCTCATATCTAAAGATAGTTTTTACATCTGTTACATCCAACTCCTCTTTACCACAATTGGTGGTGTCTGAGAAATAATAGTCTTTACACTTTAGTGAGGCAGGACTTGAATTCAGTTTTAACCTGATTTGTAGTTCATGGTGGCCTCCACAGGAAGATGGGGAATGTAAGGGCGTTCGAATAGCTTCAGGGCAGATACTCCACAGCGAGAAGGTGGTTGTTGGTCCTACATTCTGTGTGGAGCACCTTACAACATCTGTATCTACACCTATGACGTCTTCCTCCAGTAATGTAGATGCTGAGGAAGGTCCGGAGTTCCATACGTCTGATGATTCAAGTAAATCTTTTGGAGGTCGTGTACTTAGTGGAGATTACAGGAAAGTTGCCCGTTGCCTCTGTATAACCGACAAGTCTCTGCAACCTGGATTAAGCACTGTTCTGATCATTTTCCCTCCCAACTGTGAGTTCCCTTACTCTTGCACTATCACTGCTGTTGCTTTAATGCTTAGCCGTGTTTCGGATTTTGAATATTTCGAAACCTTGGGGCCATTTCAAATGACGAATGAATATTTGAATCTCTTAATTCCTTTACACTGCTAGTGGAGGAGTATGAAACATTGTCGAGAGTTAATGAGTTTGGAATTACAAGCATTCGCTAACTTGCTACGCGAAAGTCTCTTGAGCTGAGTATGCGAGGAAATTGTGCAGCTCTTGCTGGACGGAAGTCGAATGTCGTAAGAGCGTTGCAGCTGGGTGCATCTTCGGATGTCTGTCCCGATGGCAAGTGAGTATCGTTGCGTTCACATGGTTCAAATCTTGTGTCAAAATGATATGACCTGCTCTATCCAGCAAAAGTATCTATTTTTGAGAAGGGTAGCCATATTGGGATGTCTAGAATGAATGATTTAAACGATTACTTTTGGTCAGATTTTCTGGTCGTGAGTTTGTAGTTCTCTTGCTCATGAGTTGTTTGGAAGTACGTCTCTTTGCTTTATCTAAAGCAATCATGAGGACGTCCTCTAACATGGCATATGTTAATGGGAATAATTGCTTATTCTGAATTAATCTTCTAAGCAGTCCGTTTTTTGCACTTTTGGCTGATGTTACAAACCTCAGCAGGAAAAAGCTCATGCATGCATCAATAATGTTACTCATCAGTTCAATTATGTGTTATGTTGGCGAATGGTGCTGGGCTCAGATACATTGTACAATTTTCAGTAAACTGCTCAAATGCAACAGAAGCAGAAGAAACTCTGCAGGCTGCGAAGAATGCTCTGTTTTCTGAAGGTGGCTCTGAGGTTGAAACTATGCCCGACAAACCAAAGTTGCTATGGTCCATCTTCTATGTCCAAGATATTTCTCACCCTTCTCGGGTAACTTGGCAATCTAATCAGGTTCTTTCTTGAATCATTGTTACTTTTCAATATGCGTGATATCTTTTCTCAATCACCACGGGCGCCTGTAATATCTTCCATCGTGCGTTGAAGATCTTTTGGAGGGCAAAGTTAATCGTGTCTTCATTGGCGACCAGTTCTACCATGTGAATGAATTGCCAGTTTGTTTTTGTGCGTGATCAGGAAATCAAAGGATTAAAAAGTACGGTCATGCCAGACGGAACTATTGATTATCGCGGCGTGATGAAATCCACTGAGATGGTGCGTGCTATAATTGAGATTCCCTATATTGAGTTTTTTTGTTTTGTTTTTTTTTTTCCCTCCCCTTTTCTTTCTTTGTTTCTTCCTACAAAAAAATCATTAGAACTTTTTGCCCCTCAAAAGTCTAGAATCACTAACATTAACAACTCTTATTTTATGCAATAGTTTGTGAAATGTGTACGTATACGTTTGTATCCTGTATTTTATTGTCACTTTTTAGTGTTCAGCACAAAATTAAATGTTTAGCAACATCTGGAGTCTGTTGTTTTGTTTGAAGAACTTGGTTCGTGATTCTTCAGATCTATCATCAACTCTGTCCCGAGACTGAGTTCTTTCCACGACCAATAACAACTTCAATAAGTGATGAGGGAGATGGAGACGCAGACGATACAAATGAGCTCTGATAGCAACAGGTATAAGCAGCCTATTTATTTGAGAATAGGATCATTTTGACGAAGTGCGTTTGAGGTGTAAAGGCAGGGTAAGTTGGCTAGAGCAAGATGTAGTACTAGTGAGCTTTCTAGTGTAGTTGTATTGTTTAGGGGTAAAATTGTAACAAACCATAGCTTCACATTGAAAATAATAGCCATGAAACAGTGCACGAAGTAGATTCCGCGCTTCACCGTTATGTTTTTCTAGCCAAAATTATCCTCATTGAATCCATTCTGGAAGTTCAGTTTTGAACATCGCTGTGGCTATGAAGAGTTGTAAACAATCTGCATGCCATGACACTCTGCCATCATGCAATTTTTTGTGTGGTTGACTTGGCTTGGTAAGCTTGTACAAATCCAAAAGGAAAACTTGCTGCAAACGAGGATGTGACTTAGTCCGCAGCAATTGGATCAATTTGTTTCACATTTCTGGATTGGTTGTAGATCACATACCTCAAGAAACGGTTACCAAATCACCTTGAGTATTACGGCATCATGCAACCTTGACATAGGGAGATGCCATTATGCATTGGGTACAAGATAATGTGATCTGGGGTACATGTATTCAATCTGTTGGTCGGCTAGCCTATGCATACCCCATGCCCGTGGTTTAACTCATGCTCTGATCACGGTTCACTGACACTGCAATAACGAAGTGTTTTAAGAAACCTCCTACCACATGATATGATCATAAAATGAACCAGTACATGTTCTACGGGACGAATGACTTCATGCACGTCAGATAACAACTGACCGTTCATTAGCGGTATGAAGATTACAGTAATCTTCACTCAGTGGTTTGGCATGAGACGGGGGCCAGTGTTTATGTCAAGCCCAGGTGACATGTTGCTAGTATCTAGGTACCTTTTGGTATCTGTGCTTTCATTGTAGGCCTAAGCCTTATGCTGAGTCTTGTGTATTTTTTACAATATTACGGAGGACAATTTTGGTGACCCCACCACACAGTCGTAGTCTAAAGAACAGGACAACAGATGCTTTAATAATGGAAACCTAGTATTTGCTTACCTTAACAGTCACAGGAATTGTTCTAGCTACCGGAATTCACCCACTCAAGCAACTTCAACTGCAGCTAGTTTTCACTTTCGCCGATCTCTCGACAATCTGCGACAGTTGAAATGCGGTTATAAAATCCTTCTCCATTGAAGCTGTTCTGAACGCATGTAACTGGAAGCCAGCTGGGGACATAGGGGGAAAAAGTACAGATTATCGCGCGAGTGATAGGGGGATTCTGTGCAGTGGACCAAGACTAGATATGGCTTGAATATTATTATACGCGGATTTCATTCCCCCTGTTCAATCGCCTTCTTCCTTTGAAAGTGCTGGCCAGCTTGAGTCCCCACCCACCTGCCCACGAAGCCGGCCTGCTGCTCTACCTGTTCATTCTCATCGTCATCATGGATGTCGGCATCCTCACACCAAGGAGGTTGCTGTCTCACCCATTTGCTGCAGTTTGCTCTCCATTGCTCCTTCTGCGGCTTCTCCGATCTTCTCCTTTAGTGTTCCATCACTTGCTTAGCATACGAGATGGCCATGTTCTCACGATGGTGACAACACAGTACTCTAGGGCATTGAGGGTTAGGGTGGATGCTCACTGAGTAGATTACCACGCTGTTGCATGATTCTTGTCCTAATCTCGATACTTCTTCCAATTCTGATACGCAGCTAGCATTCAGCAATTCGAGTGTAGGAGATGTCGATCTTCTTTGAAATCTCTGAAATTACGTGCCAAAATGGGCTGTCCATGGATAGAAGTTCGCAGGTTTATTGAAGCTAGATCGGAATCTGTCTTTACCTCGCAACCGAATTGAGTTCTTCTCAATTACACCGAACTTTAGTTGAGATTGACTTCATGAGTGTGGCCTAGCGATTACCCTCTCACCAGCGACGACTTGCTCACTTCGTGGAGCCTAAGCGAGTGATCACGAATCCTGTGGATTTGTTGGTGCCCCACACAGCCTACATCATTCTGTGAAGCAATTAATCAGCAGCTTAAACCGGATTCTCGTGGAGTTTTGAACGTGGTCGAGTTAGCTGGAGATTGATTGGAGGTTGTAAGGGTGACTGCGGAGCCATACGGAATGTCTGAGGTACATTATCTGTAGTCATTCCCTCCTAACTAGTCTTCTCTTTGACCCTGCCTATCTCTTGCCTGCCCGCATTGGTGCCTTGATGCTGTGCATGCATACTCCCCGATCCGTTTCCTGCTTCGCCTTCGCAATATTACTCCAATCCCACACTAGATTCTGATAAGGAAATTCATCGACTGAATTCCACACTCGGAAGTGAGTCAATTCTCCAGGAAACACCATCGTTACATGGGTGATTACATTAATGCGACACTTCTCATTGCGTGTCAATGTTATTTAGAGAGTAAGTACCGCGTTATCGCTTTTGAAGAGGATTTAGAGATCACTACGGTTTGCTGAGTGCACGTAGAGTGGGCATTTTTATCATGAATCAACTGGGAGGAGACGGCAACAACATGCGTATTCTTTCCAGAAATTTCAAAGCACCTCACCATGCTGATAGTATTGCCAGATGTGTGAGACTTTTCAACATTCAATGTTGTAGTCGCATGTTCTTTTTGTGAAAGCAACGAGTTTTTTCTACATTTTTCCCTATTTAAATATAGTTATAATCGCTGCTCGAATTGCTCGTCAGGCCGGCTGAAACCCCTTCCCAATGCGGACTACCCAGTCCACCGTCTTATTAATACTGGGTCAAACCTTTCCTTTTTCACTTTTATCCAGCGTGAAAAGCAGTGAACGACAGAGGTTGTCCACGAAGTTAGTTGAGCTATTCCACAGGACTGCTCGCAAGACCTGTGTACTGCGACAGCTCATTCGTTTTGGTACATGAGTTCAACCACGTGAATAATTCAAAGAGTAGAATAATCAGCAGAGTAAACAACAAGTCTCTGCTTCTCCATTTTTTCACGTTGTGGAGAGAGCTGACCAGTTCGATTAAACTATTTTGAATCTTGTAGAGGTTTCTAAATTTTTGAAGGCAATTCTAGTACCTTCAATTTCTTTTCCACTGCATTCACCGGGAAAATTGAAAGTGAATGATAAGGTGTACGATCATAAATGCAGGTGGTGGAGTTACATGTGGTTATGCACTGCGAAGGGTGTGCAGGAAGTGTAAGAAAAACTCTAAGGAAAATTCCAGGTGATGCTTCAGACGCGATGATATTTCATCAACAGTATGCTAGGGTTCTCGAATCTTGTAGGAAGGAAATGCGAATGAGGTGGACGTCAGGACAACGTGGAGAAGTCATGCCTTTCTTTCTGATAGATGCCATAACCGCAAGCCTGACCATCACCAATGTTGCATGTGTGCAGGTACCCTGTCTTACACAGTAGACTTCGAAACACAGAGAGCAGTGGTAACGGGAAATGTAGATCCCGTGGACGTGCTGCGCCGCGTTCGCAAGTCTGGGAAGCTGGCAAACCTGATTCGCAAACCCCCGCCTCCTCCTGCTCCAGAGCCAGAGCCACCTAAGGAGGAGCCCAAGCCAGAAGAAAAGAAGGAAGAACCTAAGAAAGAGGAGCCAAAGAAAGAAGAACCTAAGCCAGAGGAGAAGAAGGAAGAACCCAAACCCGAAGAGAAGAAAGAAGAATCCAAGAAAGAGGTAAATCTATTCTATTCTCTTTGCTGTGAGGTGCCCACGTTCATAGTCCAAGTCTCCCACAAATGCACAATCTCCGAGTTAAAAACACTGTCATGAGCTTCACTCCTATGGACAATTTAACCATCGCATCATCGTATGAATATGTAAGCTAGCGCGTTAGTCCTATTAAGCACAAATTCCTCCTTAAGCTCAACGATCGGTTTCAGATTTCTTGTAGTGATTAAAATTTGCGGAGGTAGAAAAAGAAAAAGCAGAAGCAAAAAAACAAGATGTTCAATTCATTGCTTGCGAAAGATTGGCACGGTGTGTGCATGTGCGCTCCTACCTCCCAATCCTGTCAAAATCTTCAAGCCGAGATGTGAACAATGTGCAGTCATCGAATTGTACCAACTTCCGAGCCTTTGTGGCGATTCATTGAAATGTCCGGACACAACGTTCTCTCATGAAAAATGTAATGCACAACCCAGCATTCTCTATCGCTCAAGCTCCAAATTGGGCTTTGCTTATATTTCATGAGCGACAGTCATTGCTGTTTCTACCCATGTAAAGCCACTTCCATTCAAAAGCTTCATCAACTTCTGAGACCAGATAGAATTGCAGACCAGGGAGTAAAATTTGAAAGCAACACATGAGTCGTAAGCAATAGAAAGAACTGCCAAGTCATTACCCTACGAAGTGGCCCGCTCAGTACCCGAGTCTGATGACTGCGGGATTATTATATCGACACACTCAGCCTATTGTCTGTATTAACGTTGGTCGAGACTAACGCAGAGGATTGTCTGCAATTACTCAGGAACCTAAGCCAGAGGAGACAAAGGAGGAAAAAAAGGAGGAGGAGAAGAAAGAAGAAAAAAAAGAGGAGAAGAAGGAAGAAAAGGAGGGAGAGAAGAAGGAAGAAGAGAAGAAGGAAGGAAAGAAGGAAGAAAAAGAGGGAGAGAAGGAGGAAGGCAAAGCAGAGGAGAAGAAAGAGGAGCCAAAAACAGATGAAAAGGCGGAGGAGAAGAAGGGAGAACCCAAACCTGAAGAGCCGAAGAAGGAAGAACCCAAACCAGAGCCACCGAAACCCAAGCCATGGGCACCAGACTTCATTCAGGCCCCCTTCTACACCCTCGCTTACCCGCATTACTATCGATGATTCAGGCACCGACTATGAGGACGTTTTGTCGGCAGAAGTAACGTCGAGTACCTGGAGCGTTTAGAACAGTCCATTATGCTTACATGTCTAGTTTTGTGTGAATGAGGTGCTTTTTGAACTTCCCAGAGTACAAATGAGGAGTCCCTAGATCCATTAATTAGAGCTCGTGGTCCTGCTTCAGTGGAAGTTATGATGACCACGGTTTTGATTATTGTATGATTTTACTGCCGTTCTCTCGTTGCTAGCATACGGACTTCACTGGGACCACCAGTCTGAGTTATAAATATCTCTGCTTGTTCAATGATTTTGTACGCTTGGTGATGCTGTCTGAACTCAGTCACCACTCCGCTTGAGACCACGAACGGCCTCCAGATCCGTGCACTTAGGGGGAGCTCCCCACAGGCTTCACTGAGAAAGATTTCATGTGGGCGAAACAGCTCAGAGGAAAATATAGAGAGCCATTAGTGACCGTCAGAATTTCTGGATCTATCGCAGCTTCCAAAACCAGTTTGATTTGGAAACCTTGGTAAAGCTTCGGTTCCGGGTTTGTTCTCTCCAGTTCATTTGGAATCGACTTCATGTTGGAAAAGAGGTCTTAACATGTATCCTCTAAGGGATGTATATAATCGACCTTCAAAGCGAGACAGACAATGATGTTAAATAAGCGAGAAGTGGGAGGAGGTGCCGGATATGAATATGAAAGATCCTTTTGAGACGTAACAACTGCAAATGTCACAATCGCTTGCACACACCGTAAAGTTTTGAAGGGAGGGACGTAGAGACAGAGAGACCGAGAGAACTAAGCAGAGTTTGAACTCTAAATTGCTTGGCGCATTGCCCAAATGACCGGTACTAGTATTGAAGGTAGCAAGTTGTGAAGAATTGACTGTACACGAAGCTGGTACATAAATACGAAAACTACAAAACACATGGATTCACTTTCTAGTGTTCGAAACATGTTCTATTTCACAGCTCCATACACATCTGGGTCGACCGTAAGTCGGAAGTAAGGTCGGTTGAGCAGGTAGAGACAGCTAACGACGTGAAATCTACATAGCGGAGAAGCCCTACTGCGTATCGCTGGAAGTCGAGCCGAGATTTCCTCGGGAGGCCGAGTTTCTCATGGTGCCGAGGCTGCTAAGAGCCGCGTAATTTTCAATCACGGGTTTCTTTGCAGGTAGCTCCGGAGGTTCGGCTCCTCCAATCAAAACTTTCCACACAAATGCCATGTTAGGTCTCATACTCGGGTCTGGGTGAGCGCAATTCAGGCCGATTTGCAGCAGTGTGGCCATCTGCTTCTCCGAGTACGTATTCTCTAAACGCTTGTCCGCAACCCTCGCAATATCACCCTCCTCACGCGCTCGCCACACGCAATCCAATAACACCCTTTCTTCTTGCGGTAAATGCCAGTCTAGGGGCAGCCTTCCACAAGCCACCTCAAGCACAAGGATGCCGTAGCTGAACACGTCGGATTTCATCGTCGGTTTTCCAGTGAAAGGAATCTCCGGAGCCATGTACCCAAGTGTGCCATCCATCACGGTAGAGTGCGCAACCTTATCGTGGTCCACCAGAGATGCAAGGCTGAAATTCCCGACGTGAGCATTGAACATTGCATCAAGGTACACATTGCTGGGCTTTACATCCCTATGAAGCACACATTGCTCCCACTCCGCGTGCAAACAGTTCAACCCTGCAGCAACTCCCACTAGCACATTGTACCTGGCATCAAATCCAAGAAAACCATCCGCATCTTTGCTCAAGAGTAGGAGCTTGTCCATGCTGCCCCTCGGCATGTAGTCGTAGACAAGGTACAGCTTTCGCTTCTCCTCACATTTGCACCATCCCAGCAGGTGCACAAGATTAGGATGCCGGATTCGACCCAGGAGCATCGCCTTGGACACAAACTCATTGCTGATGTTGTTCAGTGCTATCTCCTTGATTGCTACCTCGGCACCATTGTCACGCAGTACTCCTTTGTACACAGGTTTCCTGCCCGGGGTTCCAATAATCACTTTCTCGCTAAAATTCTTGGTTGCTTGTGCAAGTTCCTTTGCGGAGAACACTATCGTGTCTTTATAGTCTCTCTTAGGTTTTGTCTGCACACAACACATAGTCACCTTCCCATGTGGATTTCGGTCCACAGACTCAACCACTGGCACCTCCGGTTTGGGCTCCATGGAGATAGACGAGGCTGTAACACTAGGTTGCCCCGCTACTGGAGCAAAATCTGTCGGTTTCGGATCCTGGGGGTCTTTGTCTTTACCGTGACACAATGGTAGCGCAATGTTGACGAGTGGAGCTGGCAGTTCGTGCGCGCTTGCAGACTTGGCGTTTACTTTCACGGCATTGTCTCCTCCAGTCTGTGGTCCAGAGTTAGGTCCAGAAACGTCCACTGCTTTATATTCTGGGTTTTTTTGCGTCTTCCTGCAGTAGACACAATAAATACAGATCATCAGGAAGATGAGTGCGCATCCACCAACTGCTACGGGAACTCCAATTATCAACGCTCTATAGTTGTTGCAACCGTCAAATTTGTAGCAATCGTAGGAGGTGTGGAGTGCCGGCGCTTCCGGTGATTTTGGCTTGGAAGAGGGCGGTCGAGAGGTTGAGAAACTCCATGAATAGATCGTGTGAGTTTGGTTGCAAAAAACTCCATTGCTTCCTGTAAAACCCACGTACATATAATTCTGGAAGATGGGTTCTAGGGACAACTTCGGAGCTGTCCAATTTGCAACTAGGTTTGTGGTGTTCAGGTAAAGCTCCACGCTCAAGGCTTCTTTGGATGAGTCGTAGGCGATCTTAGCGAGATAATCCCCCCGATTTACTAGAACAGTGCAATCAGGTGTGCCTGGACATAAATCATACGTGGAGTCAGATTTCACGCCATTTACATCCAAACCTATGTGCGCGGGGCTCGGATCCCCGCCAGGAATGTTGCTGATCGAAGTATCAAACTCAACTGCCAAGAGACGATTACTCGTTAAGCCATCGTTGGCTTCAGTTGTGAGACCCAGGTATTCCCCACTCTCTCCCACTGAGTTGTTATCCCCCCGGATATAAAATGTGAACCCGCCGCATCCGACAGGTTTAGGCAGTCCTGGATCAGTAATAGTAAAGGTGAAGTTGGTGCTAAATGAAACAAAGATACGAGTGAGGTCGTCCTTGAACTGCACTGGGCTGGAGTACACGACCCTGCCAGCGGTTGCAACTCCCGTTTGGGAGCCTCTCCCGTTCAAAACAAGTCTAGGGGGTCCAGTGGTGTTGACGATCGCGGCGTCACCTAAGAGGACGATGCTGTCGCGGACAGTGGCCAGAGAAGAGCTGAAGTTGGCGAAGTTCCATTTCGCGAGCTGCCCTTCAGCCAGCGTAGTCAGAATAGTGAGCAGTAGCAGTAACAAGTGAACAACTCTCAATCTGCATGGGTTCGACATACTTCGACCATGTCACAACGCATCAAGTGAACAAAGCGGTCTCAGAATTCGACGTCAAATGCCTGTGTGAGCGTGTTCGGACCGTCATACCAGTGGCTCAAAGTAGACTTGGCGCAGACTCAAGAGAACATCGAGATTACTCTGTGTTTTGCGGGACACATCGGGCAATCATCCTCGTCCTAACTTAAACCAAAGGTAGGCAGCTCCTAAAGCTATGCTCAACGGCTTGTTGCGAGCGAGTTTTGCTTCACTGAAGCTCCACGGTCGACACAACTATTTCGAGTATTGAGGGATGATTCAAACAAGCAAACGATCGATTCAGTACACAAGCTACTCATGACCAAATAAGGGAAACTGCCAGGCACGACAACATGAACGCAAGTAGATTCGATCGACACTGCTGAAACCGAATCATATGTTTCCAACTTGACAACTTGCGATGACAAGGAGAAGGTAAAGGTAGAAGGATCCAAAAAATGGAGGCCCTTAAAATCGGACAAAGCTCCAAAGAGCATCACTAATTCAGGATCACCCCAAAAAGTCAACCCTGCGTTGATGACGCCAGCTCTCCATTTTTCACAGTAAACGCGCTAAAGTCAACCCAATTTAACTGCGAAGTATTCACATCCCCGATAGAATTTATCTCCAGAAGTCGTATGGATAAACCAGTTACTCTGTCACTGTGAGATCTTTCTGTTGCCGAGCTCATCCTCTATCAGTCCATTCCATCTTCGACGACACTGGTTTCAGGCAACGAAACAGGCATAAACTCCAACTTCACACTGTGCACATCAACGGCCAGCGACGATTCCACTGTTGAGAACGAACCCAGATATATTCCTTCACCAGATAACAACAACAGCTACGGTGCGTACACAGCTTCTGTGGAAGTACCAACAGCGTGCCACTGAATCTGTGTAAGTAATAAGGGCGAGAATGAGTCCTTTAGGAAGTGCTTTTTCACGTGGCTCGCGCGCCATGTGTGTGATGAGATTGTCGGCAACTTTCTCTCCCTCTGCTATTTTCGGCTGCGAGGTTGCCTCCGACGCGGAATTTGTGGGCAGCAGCATTATCAAACAGAGTTGATAGGATAAGCACAGTCTTGAGAATTGGGATTCGAGGAGGGCCAACCAGATATTCGCGTCACCGCTGGATTGCGAGCGACGACAACCACGTCGGAGAATGATGCCTGCTTCCGGGCACTGGGATCCGAAGCAGGCCCACTCGCCTAGCAAAGCTGTATCCACCCACATTCATTCATCCATTTGTCGTCGTTCATCCGTCTATTCCGTCTATCCATCCATCCTTTCATTTTCAATTTAAGAATTAAAATATAACAAATGAGATGCTAAAATGACTATTAACAAGTATAAAGAGACTTAAATAGTCTTAATTTAAGAAGGTAATACAAGAGACACATTTAGAAGAATATTTTTATATTTTTATATTTTTTTATATCTTGCATTTATATATACTACCTAAGGTCTAATGAGAGTTCTTAAAGATTTCAAATTTACTAAACAAATGTTCATGTTGTACAATATTTTCATAGTATTCACTTAAATTATCAAAATTTTAAAGAAAAAATATTTATTTACTTATATCTAAATAACACTCGCAGATCTATTAGATATCTAAAAAACTTATACACCACTTTATAATAATGTTATTATCTACCTATTAAATATATATATTATATATATATAATCATTTACTTCTATCTATTTCCAATAGTTTAAGTAATATGGATTTTTTTGTTACAATAAAAGGTCACTTTGGATTGACATTGAAGCCATTAGACTAAATGTAAAAGTGGCTCAATCTCTGTATTTGTCAAGCTCACAAAATCATTTTAAATAAATAAGTTTTTTAAAATCAAGGTTTAAAATACTCTGTCAATGATTGCAATACATGTATAAATTTATTTTAACATAATAAAATTTTTTTTATCTTTGTGATTAAATCGAGTAAGAAAAATTAGAGTTTCACCTACTTTTAAAATATTTATAGTATTTAAATGTTATTTCTAAAAATAAACACGTCTAATTTTAAAAATACTTTAGAAGAAATTGGTTAAAATTTTGTAAGACATTCCAAGAGTAATTTAAAAGCATTTAAAAGTGCTGTTAGAGTTTATTATGTAATTTTAATAACACCTTTTAATAATAATACAACCTTGATAAAACCAAAGTAGGTATAACACATACCAAAATTTAATTAGTAAAGTAATAGAGTCCTTGGATAAAATAAAAATACAATTATTTGTTTTTGTTGTCTCAAGCTAGCTAAGATCATATCTTTAAAATATTGAAAGGTCACCAAATCTAGAATAAAATACTAATATTACATATGAGAAGCATGTATATAACCCAACTTACATTCACATGGTCATTAACAATTCAATTTAATTCCAAGAAATGGTGCCATGTAAGTGTCAAAATTAAATTTGAATCGCAATAATGCATAACACTATACTTTAAAAAAGAAAAAAAGAAGAGCTATTTTGGGTACGTTCATAGTTAATATTTTTGGCTTCTTTTAATTTTTTAATATTTTTGTCGCAGTTTTGTTTTATTTTCGAAATCAGATCTGATTAAAGTATTGAGTACTAAATTAATGAATTCATTCGATTGCACTCAGTTATTGGCAGCATAAATCCAAAGTAAAGTAAAATAAACCACCTGAAATAAACCAGTAAAAAATAAAACAGAAAAAGAAAAGAAAAATCCAAAAAGGAAAAAGTTGTCATAGCTGATGGAGCAAGCCCAAAATAGCAGTCCCCTGCTATTATAAAAAGACCAGGGTATTGACCATCAGTGAAGATAACGAAGCATGTTTTGACTAATTAAACGCATTTACCCATGCACATTGAGTTGGAAACTTAGGGTTTGTGAGCGAAGCTTTCTAATTAAGAGTTTTCATGCAAAAATCCTTGTCATCAAGAACCAAATATTTTTTTTATGCTTACACAGAATGGATCTCTGGATGAAGAGACACCGTCCGCTAAGCTATATTAAGAACCCACCCATAGAAAATACTTCCTTTCACTTCCCACCGATTCTGAAGACTAATACCGCCCCTTTGCCATTATTCTCAAACAATTGATCACCTTGTCCAGCCTAGACTTTGATTGATGTGAGGCAATTCTGTGGAAGGCTTCAATTGAGCGTCCATGATGGTGATTAGAGCTTGAATTACCTCCAGTTCAGACAGGAACGCGGCCCATATTGTTCCTCAGGTTTTGCAGACAGGTTTTGTGAGATTTGGAGATTCTAGTGCAGTTTCTGTACATAGGCACTGAAACTGTGCAGGATTTGTTGTATGCCGTGTGAAATTTGCCTGAAGTCGTTAACGTCTGGGACACGATGATGGACACCACCTGGTTCTGGAATCCACGTTTAGATTTTCGATGCTTGTCCGACAGTTTGGCGGACCCACTGGGGAATCAAACGATTCTGCATTGGGTAAGGTTTTAGTGGTGGAGATTCACGAAGTACAGAACTAGGCAGAGGTACGCGGTAAGTCTTCGACCATATACATTCAGGAAATGTGCTGGGGAGATCCAGAAATTGAGAGATGTCACTCAAGCTCTAATCAGAGTTGTGAGGTAAGTCTAATAGCATCAACTGGCGCATCCACAAGTGTTGTAAATGCCTGCGAGCAAGTTTCTTGCAGAAAAGAAATTCCATGTTTACAATGGGGCCGTGCAAATGTACCTACGATTTTACAAGACTTCAAAAAAACTGGCCTGAGTTGAATCATGACACGAGGCAATAAATTGTACAAGATAAAAGCTAACTATTTCTCAAGTGTTCATCACCATTACCACAAGAATCACACAAAATTTCTTACTAGGTTTTGATGCTGTCATCTGTGAATGATGTGATGTCTGCTAAGTCCATTGTCACTTTGGGCCTCTCTAGACAACATATCTTGTGGCCGTGTCCATCTAAAATCCCAAGGCATTCTCATCACATTGTTCGGCAAACATCTTGTTTGTTTTGAGGAACACTCACAACTTAAATAGCATCAACCAGTTCTCTTACCACGGATGATATCTGACGCAAATCCTATTTTACACTTCAACTAAAGTTACATCACAGGACAGGTACTTCGAACAGCTACTCAACGATCTGAGACTCCATTTGAGGTGCAAGGCCAACGCATGCCGTTGTTGTTCAGGTTGGATACCTTGTCTGTATAGACAGGCACACCCAGGAACTTGCACTTCACTAGCTGCGCAGAGATTTCTACATCTGGAGGTTCCACTGCTTTGATGTCGTCCTGCAGCATCAACACGTCGTATAGTTGAAAAAAGTCCTAAATAATGCATCCTTTACACCTCCAATTACTTGTAGCAAGGTGGGTGGCTACAAGCGACCCAAATGTATGACATCAATTACGTAACCTGAGGTAACCTAACACAACACCACTTAAAACGAGGCTAAATGGTACAGCGATTAATAACAATACTTCAATAAAAATAGGAGATGAGGGTATATACCTGAGCACTACACAGGTGCTTGACTTGTACAACCCCATAATTACGGGACCTAGTCCATTTATGATGCCGAAAGCAATATTCATGTTGCAGACGTCCGAGCCGGCCAGCAGCTCTCATGAAGTAGTAGGCAGATTTGGGGAGCGGCATGTTAGCGATTGCACTCGTTGTGAGCTGTCGAAATGCGACTTTGTGGTTCTTGATGATGTCGGAATGACCGCCACAGTGCACATCACCTGTTGGGGGTGGGGGGTGACAGCATTGAGTGATCCTAATTCCAATGTACATTGATATCCGGGCAGAAACAATTGGCAGAATCATCGATGACCCTTCATCAGTGATTTCAATAAATGGAAACAGATAGGGGAGGAGAGGGGGCAAGATCTCTTACCTCCAAGAACCAGGACTTCACGACCAGCTTTTTTGAACTTCCATTCGCTGAGGGCGTCTATCATCGTGATTTGCTCCTTGATATGATCACCGAAGGACCAGTGTCCTCTGAAATCTTCTAGTCGGTGGACGGCTTTAGCTGCTGATTGGGTGATTCGAGGTTCTAGAAATACAAGAGGGGCAGGAGAGCAAACTAGCAACGCCCGAGCTTTCCCAAATTCGCCATCTGGAGACAGTGATTTTGTGATGGCATTCCATTGTCGGCTCCCCAGATATTTGTTCACATCATCTATGACTCGATGGAAGGTTCGTGAGCCTCGAATATCGAGGAACATGAGCCCTACTCCTCCTACAACATGAAAATGGTAATCCTAGTGATCACCCATCCTCCGAAGTCAGTGCAGAACAGAAAGGAGAAGTGAAGTATAACAATATTCCTAACTGAACAAAACAAGTCTGCCGATTTACCTCGTGGATATTTTCCAATGATGAGAAATCTACATCCTCATACAGCTGCCTTTGATACTCCATGCTCACAATCCAGGCGCAACGAGCCACGAAGAAGTCGGCGCTGCTGGGATCCCAATCTTCCTCCACATCTCCCCAGTTGTCTCTAACCTCATGATCATCATAAATCATCAGATTGGGACAATTAGCTAAGCATTTCGCAGTGGGAGCATGTCTCCACGTATCCCTGTAGACTTCTCGGTAGTATTCACAAATGACGTCCCCGTGATCAATCCACTTCTCTCGGGGTACATCCTTGAGTTTCTCCATGCTCTTCCGGAAACGATCTGACCACGCATCCTTGTCCATCCCTGCTTGAGCATCTTGACGCTTATCGCCGTCACCATAAATCTGGATAAATTATACTAATACACTATCAATAACATACGACTTAGACAGAAATGTAGCATTCACATCCAACGTACAATAATGAATGATTATTTACAAGAATTTAATGCATGAGTGTACAGAAGAGGTTGGACCTGGTCTCCAAGGTGCAAGAGGCAGTCGACCTTGCCAGCCTCGATGGACTTGGAAAGATGGGTCCAAAGATCTGAGGCAGGGGCAATCAGCATATCGGTTATAAAAATTTTGTTGCAGCTTATCACTCCAAATGTAATATTTTCTGAAGGCTTTTCAGGGAACGTGCGAAAACTGCTCGCGGTCGTTACAATACAGCCTTTCACCTCAACAATATAAGTGGTGCCTGGCTTCAGAGCTCTAAACTCGAAGACAGAAGGTCGATTAGCCTTGACATCTTTCTGTACTCTTTTCTCGCTCAGGTGCGAAGGCATCCTAGCCTTGATGTTTGCTGGCCCTTTTCGCCCTGAAGTTAATTGTCTCTGTAAAAAGCTTGGCTGCTTCTCCAATGCAGGAGGCTTCTCTCTAACATTAATCGTCAAGCTTCCTGACTGGTTTATCTCGACAAGAATACGGGCTGTAGTAGAGGTGACCTCGCCAATAACCGGTCCAACCATCACATGCGGCTGTTCACCGGGAAATTTAAGGCTTCTTGAGCCTGAGGTACCATACATCTTGCTGATGGAATGGAGGAAGGACATTCGTGCATTTCGCGTAGCAGTCCTCCATTTTGATTGTTTCCGCTCCGGATGATGGCCACCGTTTGCCACAAGGGACGATGTGCCACCGTTTGGTTCCTCGCTTACACCTTCCATCCTTGATGGAATCATATTGTGTGCCATATGTACTCAACACAGGGCTCCCTCCGCCACCAAATAGCAGTTGTAGAATCACAAAAAGCAACACCGAAGCGATCTAGAACTCCGAAGGAATTCACTCGAAAGTGTCAAGAAAGTATTTGTTCATATCACGTGATCGATGTTTGCAGATCTTCAAATAGGGTTTCACTATGCACCTGCCTTTCCCCGTGCATCCAGTCGTCTTATATGAGTTCTGAAAAAATGGCCCTTCACCCAGTAGCACAGACATCTGCATGTACGATCACGATCAGAGGCTAGTCAGTGACTTCCAAGAACACCTACTCTTCAAGAAATTAATAAAAATAGGTATAAATTTAACGTCACTGCGATATGGCAGCTTTTAAGCTTACTCAATGTCCAGAATGCCGATTTGCTGATACTATTTCTGCTGAAACTCTACTAACGAAATAGGACGTCAACAACGCCTTGCCAGATAGAAACTAGAAGCGCATTGTACATCTTCAAGTGTGATCGCTCAGTCAAAATCCCCGATCGAACCTGACCACAGTCTATCTTCGATTGACACGAAGAATTTCCAAGCTTCAACAGTACCTCTCGAAGGCTTAGTAGCTGTATTAGACAATGCAGATATTGAAAACGATTGAGCCAAAGCGCTATTCTTACATAATGAGAGATCGAAAAACACGTATGGAAGGTAAGGTAAGAGCTCAACGTGAGCGCGGCAAATAAGAAACCACAAACCTCGTAGCGGTAAAGACAGATCAACGTTCATTAGGTTACATAATTCACATTTTCAACCTCACTATCTGAACTCGTGATCCTAGTCACGTGTGCATGAGCATTATTACACTTCTGCAGGCCAGCCGTAAGACTGGTGTCGCCTAATTAATCTAGCAAAGTGGTGAGAAAATCTGCAACTTTACACAGGCTCCGACATGGTTTTCATCCAGAACATTTTAGGGCGTAGAATGATACCAAGCTCACCCATACACCAGAATTAAAAGTGATCACAAGATTAAGGCCACCTTACATGCTAACTAAGGATCCTTACATCCTTATTTGCAGAGTCCCAAGGATCTCGTGCCAAGGATCCAACAAAAGCTTGCAATCCATGGGGCCGCAATACACAGACGAAAGGAGAGAGATTTGCTTAAGAGAAGACTTCGCTGAAGTGCTCCTCCAAACTGATTCACAGACACTCTGATGCTCCAAGAGATCGGATTGAAGTTCAGCACGAGAGTCACGAAAGATCGACTTAGGCCATCCTCCACTACTAAATACACATCTGAAGAAAAATCGTAGTTTGTGATACCACGGTTCACAAATTTCAACTACAAACTGTAAGAATGTTGGGTCAGTGCCACTGCCAGCTCCCGTACTCTGCACCTAACCCCAGATTTTCCAGAGGAATATTCCGCTCCGAGGTGGGCACCTGTGCGAATTTAACTCGCACAGCACACACAGAATGCTTGTCAAAACCGTATCATTCAAGGAGCGCAAAAACCAAGACCAGCGGAGTCTAATTCCAGTAAAGAAGAAGAAGAAGAAGAAGAAAGGAAAAACAGAAACAAGTAAAAAAAAGTCTCCCTCTCTACCAAGAACCTGTCACCACTGTCCGACATTCCCCAACAGCCAAGAGGGAAACTACTCAAATTAGATGAGTAATGATCAGGACCCCGCAAATCCAAGCGCAAGTCACAAACGAAGCTAACACTGAAATCTAATCCTATCAGCACACGATACAGTTCAAACGATCAGCTTGAACAAGCTGTCGGCACATATGCACATTCCTTAGCATCGGAAACTGACAACAATCCCAGTTCATAAAGATCGGATGTATACATCTCACGCGCACACATTGGAGATAGAGCCTCTTCCATTTCCATCGATCCTCATGGTGGACTCTGCAATGTCCAGTCACCGGACGCTAATCGGTACACACTAAACGTTGATCGGTACACACTTTACGCTGATCGGTACACACTTTACGCTGATCGGTACACATTGTACACAGCGGAGAAGATAAATCGATTGCGATGGGAGAACTGAAACCTGTCGGTCGCAACATCGCCGTTAAATCAAAAGATCTTCGTCAGACTCTCCAGATACAGAGTAAAAAAATAAAAAAATAAAAAAATAAAAACATTTTCATAGTTATGCAGAGGTCTCTAGTTCAAATTATGCTACATGTGATTGAATCGTTATCTTTACTAATTTTTTATAATAAATATCTGTTACACCATTTTGAATTAATATCTCTTCACTTTGGACTTGTTCTTAACTTACCCTCATCACTATTGGGCTACCAACCTAAGCAGACACACCAAATATTTTTGTAAACATACCCAAATTCTAGATTTAGATAAGCATCTACCACAGGTATTTATCTCCATGGTAGATATTTATCCATCCTCTCACCCTCGTCAAGGGCGGAGGAGGAGCTTAGAGATTCGTGAATGGTGAATCGCGAGGAGATTTTCCCACCTCCACAGCCTTGAATGATGGACGAGAATAACGGATGTCTGTCAAGATGGGTGAGGCCAGGCCTCACTCTCTCTCACTCCGTCCTGGGTTCAAAGTCGTGTCGACGAAATCGTCCATGAACGACGACGAGCGATGCCGTCGGACGAGAAGAAGCGCGCTTTGTCCTGGGGGGATGGGGTGGGGGGACGCACATGGCCAGCGGCGAATCCAAGGCTAACTCTACATCCTTCGTGGACGATGACTTTTGAACCATAACACGTGGTCAAATAATGGGCTGCCAATTGTCGTAACCCGAGTCCTCTCCGAATGCCTTGGTCCCGCCATTTTTCAATTTCAATACGCGATATGAACCACGTCAGCATCGTGAGTTGCGAGCACTGTCTGCACAGCGAACCAAGTTGGCATTGTGATTTACAGCGTTGCTGCGCAGGAATTCTCTTCAGAGCATTATTGAGTTGTGGAGGACTTTGACGAACGACGGAATGGTTCTTACTTTATATCTAGTTGACACATATTGTTGAAATTTAAAAGTACGTACAAAGATATATACATACACATATACCTTTTGTAGGTTGCTCCTCTAAGCTTGAAGAATAACCCTCACAAGGCAAAACCACATACTCCACAATTAATCTTGCAAATGATAATTGAAACATGGAAGTACAAGAATTACAAGATTTAAAGAAAATTGGGATATGGTGAAGATAATACATGATGCTTCATATGTTGCAAACACTTTCAAAATTTGTAGTTTTTTTTTATAAGATTTTGTTTTGCTAAAAATTGTCGATCAATGACTTTAGCAAGTATTGGTAAGGTCTTTAAGGTCTTTCAAATAGAGTATTTAGGTTTGATATTTGACAATTTTTTTTTATCCATGAAACATATTGACATTTAAATATATGAAAATATTTGTGTAACAATGTTTCAATGTTTTAATTTTAATGCATAAAGTAATTATTAAATAAGATATAAAATTATAATATATATATATATATATATATATATATATATATATATAATGAGTTGATAAAGCCACACTCCAATGTTGTTAAAGCCACACCTCTCTTGTCATTTTATAATTACTTCTATCCATCCTTCATCTTTGTCTTTCATTCTTAATCTACCCATCCTTACTCTATGTTTACAATTCTTAGTTCTCCATCTCAAATCCTTATATCTCACAAGTTTCTTTCAAGCAAGATATTATTCTTCAACAATTGCGGTGTTCAATCAATTTGTATAGATCTTTGTAAGTATCGAAGCAATTACAACCAAGGCGTATTCAAAGAGCACCTTATCATAGAAGTCTAGATGTGTTTTTTTATTTAAAGTATGAGAAGTTTGGAAGAATTCATTGATAAGTCCTAATACCATGCAACAAGTCTGTAGCATTAAATCTTAACTAGTTGTGGCTAACAAGGTATAGCAAATAAATTACACTTTATATATGATTGATAGCATATACCTATTGTCACAAAAATACATATATATTTTGATATTTACCTATATGATTAAGTAAGAATAGATAAAAGTAGATTTATTTTATAATATTTTTTAGAGAAGCTTCTTAGAAGCTTTATAAATGTTGTTTTGACTTTACATGTATTTATAATTAATTGATAGATTAAAAACTTGATCAATAAGTTAACTACATGTTAATTGCTTGTACTGTCATATTACATAAAGTCTTGCTTGAGAATGTAATAAATACCTGGTTGTGGAAGGTAGAATGGAAATTACAACAACAAAATTTTAACTCTAGTAGAATACTAAATAAACTCTAATTAGATCTTAATAATACTAATCAAACTTTAATCAAATTTAAAAGAAATCTTAAAGAAATTATAAAAGAAATAATAAAAAATCTTAAAGGAATTCAAAATAAATCTTTAATAAACCTTAAAAGAATTCCTAAGAAATCCTAAAAAAATATTAGAATAATTAAAAATATATCTTAAATAAATCTCAACTAAGTTTTAATTTAATCTTAGTTAAAATCCTAATAGATTTTAATAAAATCTTAGGCCAAATCCCAACTCCTAAAAAAATCCTAAATCTTAAATCTTAATCAAATCTTAAATTCTAAATCCTAAATCAAACCCTAAATCCTAAGCAAATCATAAACTCTAAATCCTAAATCAAGTCCTAAACTATAGTCCAATCCTAAATCCTAACCAAATCCTAAACCTTAACTCAATTCTAATTCTAAATTAAATCCTAAAACCTAGCTTAATTCTAATCCTAAACTAAATCCTAATTAAAACCTAACCAACTCAACTTAATTCTACTATAATTTAGAATCTTAATATCTATTAATAAACTATTGATCTTACTTAAAATTTTATATACTTTTGAACAACTAAGTTGGCAACAAGCACACAAAATTTGAAGAGAATCAAACTTACCAAATAGAAGAAAAATATCAAAATCCGCTTGGATGTCGCCAAGCCTCCTTCAATCTTATTGCTAATCTTTTAGCACCAATATCTCCTTCTCACACCATTCAATTGTTCTCAAAATTTACATATATGTAGCAAATCAAGTCTATTATCCTTATAGATAAATTTCACTCTAATCCAATAAGTAAATTGCTAAAGATCTTAGAATTTCTAATTGCATCTCAAAGTCCAATTTCCAAGACCTCAACCTACTTGAAATGCAATAACCTTCAATTCAACTATTTAATCAAGCTCAAACTTACAACATATATTTCAAACAACTATTCTTATAAATCCTTGAAAGTTGAATTATAGATCTATTATCAAACTCACAAAATTTTCCAAAATATAATATTCCTTTTATTTCACAAAATCTAGAGTCACCTAAAACAACTATGACTTTGCAAAGCTCTTACAAAGCCATTATATACTTAAATCAATCAAAATTAATGCCTAAAGAAATCTTATTAAGTCAACTATCAAATTTTATTCTTCAATTTGCAAAAGAATTTTAGAGTTACCATAGGTGCCAAGTTTTGTGCCTTAGAATCTAATTTCAATCCAAGTTGATAACTAATCCTCTATGGGTATCAAATTTTTCTTTTTTAAGTTAATTTTTATTAAAATCAAGTTTTAACTTCTTCTTATATTTTTTTATATTCTTTATTTTTTCAATCTATTTTTTTCCTTAATTATAATCTTATAAATTAAGTAGAAGCCTACTTTAAAAAAAAGTAGCATTTACACCTTTAATTTTACTTTCTTTTGGACTACTATCTATTTTCTAAGATTATTTGCTATAATATTTCAAGTAAGATCTTATATAATCTAATAATTTCTTCATTCTTTTTACCTATTAGTTGTATTACATCATGATAACACAACAAGTTAATTATATGGCATACATATAGAAAACGTGCCTTGTAAGTTAAGATACATGTCTTACAAAGTCAATACGTTTTGGAGGTCGTATAGAACATTGCCATATAGCTCCTACTTAAGAATATATATGGAAGCAAGAGTGAAGCCTTCTTCCCTCTTGTCAATCTCTTTCTAGTCCTTAGACTTGTTTCAAGACTTCATAGTCTTCTTGTTTTTGGCAATAGCCATTCTAGTTTAATATTATATCATCTTTAAGTGATTTTGTAGTCTTTTTGAGTGACACATGAGTATATTGATATTTTAATTTTTTGAAGTTCATATCCTTACGATCTACATTATTAAGTAGAAGTAGATAAAAATAAATTAATTTAATAATATCTTTTAAAAAATCTTCTTAAAAGCTTCATAGATATTGTTTTGACTTTATACATATTTTTAGTTAATTGATAGTTTAAAAACTTAATAAACAAGTTAGCCATGTATCACACTTATTCATAGTTTATAGAATAAATTAACTATATGGCATATATATAAAAAACTTATCTTGTAAGTTAAAATATATGTCTTGCAAAGTCAATACGTATTAGAGATTATATAGAATATTGCCATATATCTCATAGTTAGATAATATATATGGAAGCAAAAATGAAGCCTTTTTTACTCTTATCAATGCCTTTTTAATCTTTGATCTTATTTTATAAATTTTTAACTTCTTATCTTTGACATTAGCCATTATAGTTCAATATATTACTATCTTAGAGTGATTTTTTAGTCTTTTTGAATGACTTAAGAATGTATTGAGTTTTTTTTTTTTTTTTTTTTTTTTTTTTTTTTTTTGAGATTTATGTCCTTGATAGTTTGACAAAAGTACTAATTCATTGTTCTTGTCTTGTTTTAGAAGTGAGTGGATTACTCCACTTCTATTGTTATATTTTGAATATTAGAGACAACATATTTTTAAACAAATAATTTAGTTTTTTAATATTTATTTTTTTTTAAAAAAATTGAATCATCTTTCTTTGTGAAAAT